GGTGTAATGAAGTTGAATAGCACGAGGATATACTCACACAACGTCGCGACTTCCTCTAGAGTAAAGGCGAGTGAACTGGAATAAATTTTCCCATGAATTACTCCCTCCCCCGCGTAGACAGTCAATAAAACTAATCAGCGTCATATATGACACGCGTAGTTTAAACTCAAATGAGATCAATATGTTCGCTGGAGGATTCTGACAACCTTGGACGCTAAACGTAATGTCATATCGCGAATTGGCGTTTACAGCTGCTCCGGGATTTGAGCCAATACTGCAGTTCCACCTGTCGATGTGGTCTTCTGCAAGAACCAGTCGGACTTCTGCATGGGGTTTCTCCTCTGTATCCTTGAAATCGACAAATAGTTTGCTGACGGTTGCATAGAGTAGATCAGGATTCCCCAGGATACTATCAGTGTTATAAAGAGTGGCCATGTTTGCTGGTATCAGAAGAATGTTGAGTATAGACCAAGGCTGTTGTTGAGTCTCGGTTATTGCATGCTGGAGCAGTCTATTGCTTTATACAATTTTCCTTCATGGTGATTCACATCTTCGTTTTAGCTAGGACACATTCAAATATAGATCAATTCGTGATTTGCAACTTAATTGTGACATCGCTATTTGAATACGGATGAAGGAACTAAGGACCCCAAAGGTTCCTCAGTTACGTCTTTGTATAGAAAGGCGCTACCCGCTCGGGATAGAGATCTCACAAAGAGGCCTAACACAAGAATACCTTATTGAGGTTTGGTGTCTACTATGGATAACAACAAAATAAATCAATTATAAAACCATTCTAGCTAGCTACCTAGGACTATGGAATAGTTACAGGGCAAGAACATTTGTATATACTAGTAGATAGAAGTAGTTAGACGCCCTTTGCCCTTCACAGGGATTCCGCGGCGAACAACAACAATGGTATACTGTGATTCAGAACGTCTCGAAAATGGAAGACAGGGAATCGTTTACTAAAAATGAAAATATTTAATAATAATTTAAATAAAAATCCTAAAAGTGTACTTTTAAGATCCAAATTAAATATTCTAGGATTACTCAATTAGGATTAGTAGATCTGAATAAAAGAGAATTCTTGTTATTATTTATATTAGTTATATTTACTAATCAATCTTGGCCATTAATAGTTATTCAATTATTTTTATCAATATTATTTTTGATTAAAGATCATGAAATAAATAAGAGGCGTTCAATTTAGAAATGGGATCATCTAAACTAAGCTTTTCAAGTGGCGAAAGAGCGGCGAAGATACAGTGATTCACTATTGAATCGCAAGGCTAAGTGCAGTCAGCCCCAGTTAGAGCTGGGAGAATTCTGCCATCCATTTCCCCCTTATCTAGCCATTAAATCAACTCTCACCTCGACGAGGTTGACGTGACTCCTTTACTGAAGCCTTGGCTTGTGGTAACATCTTTTGGAGAGCCAGGAGACTTACGTTGGCGGACACGCTCATTTGACTGGAAAAAGCCATCGATATCTTGTTGATATTATCTCAGGGATACCTAGGTGATGATATGCTTAGGGCGCCAAGCAGTTAGAAAAGTTTGTTCTTGCCTATTTGGCATTCATGCCCTTAAATTCAGGCTTGTTGAGGTTGGGCTAAAAATTCGCTCCCATGTTGACCGTCCAACCAGACGTTTTTTTTTTCTTCGTTTGCTTTTCTACAGGCTTGATGTGTCCACAGGTTCCTCCTCAATGACCAGCTTTCGCTTACTGTTTGCGGCCTCACATGTCGCTAACTGATGAGAATTAATAACGTCAGGGGCCAGCTGGGCTTATACACAGGGTGTTGCGACATGATAGGCATTTTTTCGGGCATTCAGTGTTCGCAGGATCTTTTGAATCCTCCCGGCAGCTGATATTACAACACTAAGCGACAACTAATCTGCTTTGGTGACTTCAGGCAAACAGAACAATCCCTAGTAGCTCATTACGACCAGTACGATATGACATGTGCCGCTTGGGAATGTTTCCTCTTCGCATTCAATAATTCTCCTTGCGCCTCAAATGATAAGCATAAGGTTACAGCAAATCACTGGCCTGTGGGGACAGTGGGCACACAAAGCCAATAAGTTCTAGCATAGCTTATGCGAGTGCCTTGCATGATGCCTGCATCAAGGAACCTTTTGTGCTCACCAACCCGATTGAACCCACGCTACAAAGTCCCGCATTTCGTATTACTCTTTCTAGTACTCCATCCACTTTTCAGTGCGTTATTTGATAGCGCAAATGGCCAATTCAGGGTGAATTCAATAGTTGGCGTGAAGGAAGGCAAGTGAGCACTAGGAAAACTTATATAGGTGGCATAGTATCTGTAGAACTAATGATCACCTTCAAACGTGCGGTTATCCTCCCAACTGTCCTTATTCTACCCATTAAGTTCAGCCTTTAGTTATCGAAGCAAACATGAGCGAATGCTACTATAATGGGCGCCTATGGAGTGCTCTCCTCTTCCTATGGCTAGCATCAGTAGTATTGGCTTTTCCACAGAACCAATCTTCCAAAATCACGTCAGTTGTTGCTCAGCCAAAATTCATGATTGTGGGAGACTCAATCACTCACGGTGCAGACGGAGACCACACCTGGCGTTATCGCCTGTGGCAATGGTGTCAGTGAAGTCCATGCTCTACTCCATCCCACCGCTCTATATGATGACGCAAGTTCTGTGAGCTCTAATACTCAAGCAATACGCAGTGACAGAACAAGGATACCAGCCGAATTTCGTCGGCCCATATCGGGGGACTCATGGGCCCGCCGACCCAAACTCTGCCCAGCCGTTGCCAGCCCGTTTTGAGGGCGAAACGCAGGACTCCTACAGTAACTTAGAAGGAATATATGCATCCAATGTGGAAGCGGATTTCCAAACTTCTGCCCACGCTGCTTGGTGGGGAAGACAAGCCCATCAAGACAAGGACTGGATCAAGGGATGGGTTCAAGAGCATCAGCCAGCCTATCTCCTTCTGCTCTTGGGTTTCAATGATCTCGGCTGGAGTGTTCAGGGACCTGAAGGGCTGCTTGGTGATATGGGAGCAATAGTCCAGAGCGCCCGTGAAGCGAAAGCGGACATCAACGTGCTGGTGGGCAACGTGATGCATAGGAGCTTCCTTGAAGGCCGCCAAGACTTGGTTGATAACACAAACAGCTACAACAGTAAGCTTGCGGAGACCGTTCCAAACTGGTTTCGCTGGGAATCTCCCATCTCGGTCGTTGATGTTGCCAGCAACGTCAACTGCCGGCCCGAGGGTTGCCCGCATGGTTACGACGGGCTACACCCAAACGAAATGGGTGAGTACTATATAGCCCAGGTCTTTGCTAGGGTCCTGAAAAGCAGTTTTCATTTTCAGGGCGAAGACTTCCAGCCGCCAGCATCGGTACCTGCACGTCAGCTCAGCATCCCAGGAAATTTCAGGGTCTCTGCAGTGGACGAGGGCTTCTTTGTTGAGTGGGACAGAATGGCTATAGCGAGAGGATATGATATCCGGATGCGACAGAAAGGGTCTACTCAATGGTGGTCTGAAGGAGCCGTCTCCCCAAGCACCTTTGTCTCCTACATGACTTGGGTTGTCGAAGGAGAAACATGGGAATTTCAAGTCCGCTCAAGAGGGGACAACGGCGCCGTGTCTGACTGGTCGTCTCTAGTAAGCTCCACAGCTCACCCAAAAACTGCAGGTGGGCCTTCTGGGATTGCCGTATATCCCGAGGGTAATGGACTTCGATTCAGCTGGGACGCCGTGTCTCGAAGCGATGTCAATCGATACCAAGTTATAATACTGGACCAAGATGTGGCTGGCTCGTACATCGAGGGATACGCGGCCAAAGGGACTAGCCATACTATCTCCAACCTCAAATCTGGCCATCGATATTCAACCTCGGTACAGACATGGGTTGACCTTGGCAATGGAAGACTAGCAGGTGGTAGACCAGCAGGTCATAGACATGCTAGAGTAGGCGCAGGCGCTCCGAGTACGTCTCCCAAAAGCCTGAAAGTGCAAAATATATCTGCTGTACAGATATTGCTGGAGTGGTCAAGCGTCTCCGATGCTTTAGGCTACGCTATTTATGTTAGAAACATAAATGACAGCAGCAATTTCAAGCTCGATGGCTCTGCAACGGGCACAAGCTATGGTGTCGGGTTTCTTTTTCCAGGAACTTGGAACTTCGAATTCTGTGTCGTTTCATATAACGGAAATCTAGAAACTAGTCGAGATTCTTGCGTAATCCCACCTCCTATCTATCCTTAGCCAGAGAGAAGGGGAATTCGGGTTTCTGTCGAATATAGAACGTTTGAATTATGGAACACTGTGTTGTGAACAAATTGAAATCTCATGTAGTTTAAAGAGATTATCGTCTTCCGTCAGACACTCGTTAGGCAAGTTTCACTGCTAAGCCTTTGTCGCCTGCTTCCGTACGTATGATGATTGTCACGAATTAGTTCTCATACATGCGAGTTTGTTTGTCTTTTCATCGGCAAAAGCAAGTGGTGGCACAGGCTTTTCTAAAACTCAAATTACGGTCCGCACCTGAACGTTATACGAAATTAGAAAAGAGAAGATTTTAAACGCATACGGCCTAGGCACAGGTATCAGCGCCTCCTAAAACTAATAAGGGCTATCAAATGTATTAATTAGTTGGCCACGGACCCCACGGGGAAGCTCACAACCACACCCCCTTCCAAGCAAATCCCGACGATTTCAATATCTCATATCAGCGTCCCTATCACCATGGTGCGGGCCATGAGAAAGGATTTCTGAATCGCTCAAGACACCTTGAACGAAATGTCGTATGCGACATGACTGCCCTGGCATTATTCAACAAGAAAAAGACGCAGAATCATCCCGACAGGGTTACTGAAGATCCATATCTAATCCTCGCTGGGATAACACTGTGAATTATGAATGATTCACGTTGATCCTGGAATTCTAAGTTAACAAACAGTTTGCCGTCTCAATCACGCCGTGTTAGTAGTCGGAAGCAACTGGTTCTAACCTTAACTGCCATTTCCAACAAGTTACAGAGTACTTTAGTTATTTGTCCACAAACAAGTGCCCATTGTTGTACGACAGTGCAATTCACTCACAGCGAGATTTAAGTGGGTTCACTTTACAAAAGTAAACAAAGGAGACAAGTGACGAACCTTTGGCACTGTGTTTTCTTGTTCTTTCGTCTGCTATGAATACACGATTTTCCCTTCGGCCTCTATGCACCAGGCATTAATTTGTTGACCGAGAACACCCAAAGTCAACCAGAATCACGAGCCAACAATCGAGGTCCCGTATGCTTCATGCCCACAACTCCACAGCCAATCTCGATAAACCGTCTGGTCGAGACTCCAAGGCTCAAGCATGAGTCAGAAACTCCCAGCTTGGTTTTGGCGTGAGTGTGTCAAGGATGAAGCAACCGTGAAAAAGCTCGAATCTCAACTTTCCATCAGCGATCGCGATCAAGAAGCCGGTCAATCAGGTTACGATATCGAGTCTTGCATCTATGAGAGGGTCACCGATTACTTGTTTGGGGCTGGCTGGAACACTCTTCCCGACGGTCAGCCACCGAGATTGGTGAATAACGGGTTGCTCTTACGCCTCCCGGATGATGACAACGCTGGTGATGACTTTTTCGTCTCGGTAGCGGCCAAGCTAGCAGCTAATTTCCGAACAAACCTGATCATTCTTAATTACCAAGATATTCAGGACCTCGCAGAGCACATTGTAGGACCTACAGGAACCTACGTGGCCAATACAGAGCAGCACTACATGTCTACATACTTTTCGGCAGCAGATGATACAGAAACTGAAGAATGGGTGTCCAACATGGCCACCGATGACTCTGAGCCCGTTGCATCAATTACGAGAGATCTCAATTCAGAGGGTTGGGGAAAGACATATGACTCTGCGGATCTCTTTCGAGATATGCTCAGCAACCTAGGAAAGGAGTCCATCCTCATCATGCTTTTACGGCCCCGGGAGTTTGGGCGGTTCTGGAACCCTGTTTGTAAAGCTTTGGGGGAAGCCATTGATAAGTCTGGATTGGCAGAACAGGTACTGGTCATTGCAACCGACAACACCACGCATCCTGACACGCCAGAATACGGGCCAGGTGGCGATTATCTCAACACCCGTCCCGCCCCAAGAAGACTAGACATTTTCCCACAAAGAACCAAGTCTCAAGAAAGGCTTTTTAAAAACGCAAAAGGGACCCAATTAGAAGAGAGAAACAAGAGGGTGCTACAGCGGGCTATCAGGAGTCTTCATCCCCTCCCCGCACAAGTGCTAACCCAACCATATGCTGAATGGCCAATCCCAGAGTCTGCGACGGCAATGAAACTATTCTTGAGAGAGAAGAGACTCACTTGGGATAAGGCTCAAGAGCTTGCAGAGCGGATGCTAGGGCCATTCCCCTTGACTATTGATATCTTAGTCTCTCTTCTAAATCGCTACCTGGACGAAGATAAGGCGACACAAAACTGGGGACACACATCAGACACCCTTTTCCCGGAGCCTACGAATGACCGTGAAGATCGAAAATCAGATCGAAAATCTGGTTCTGGGCGCGGAAAATCCTCAAGCGAGAGCGACGACGAGGATGGAATAAACACGTTGGAAACTCTAGTGGATAAATGTACGTCCCCTCCCCATAATGAAAGCTTAGAGAAAACGCTAACTTGAATCAACCGGTATCTAGCCACACTGAATGCAGACTGGTCACATATTGAGGTCGATCCCGCCGTCAAATCCCAGGTTCAGCGCATGATCTTACTCCTGGAGCGCCGCAGCCAACTTTCAGGTATTCTCAAGCGCGAAGCAGGCGGTGCTCCTATTTACGGGCCCCCGGGAACTGGAAAGACTCACCTCGCCAGGATCATCGCAAAGGAAACTTCATCGACCATGATCCGCGTAACCCCTGCCGATATCACCAGCAAATGGTGTGGTGTGGCGGAGAACAATGTGAAGGATCTCTTCAAGTTCGCCCGCTCGCGCTCCCCTGCCATTGTGTTTTTTGACGATGCAGACGGCTTATTTCGGCAGAGAGGCGGCGACCATAGGGGTTCGACACAAGCACAAGACATTACCAACTCATTCTTAAATGAAGTTGGCGGGTTCGCCAATGACCCCAAAAGTCCTCTCCTTGTACTTGCGACCAACTTTCCCAACAATGTCGATACGGCTGTGCTTCGGCGCGTGCCAAATAAGATATTCATCGGTTTCCCCACGCGAACCGGACGGCAAAACATTTTCCAAATATGCCTACGGGAAGAGAAACTTGGCAGAGACGTGGAACTCAAAGCCCTCGCGGCTCGCTCATCCCGATTCACAGGTTCAGATATTGAATTCGTCTGCCATCAGGCTGCTTCTGCCGCGCTGGAAGATGTCGTCCGAAGCTCTAAGCCAATTGAGATGCCTGTCTGTCTTGAAATGAAACACTTCATCCGTGCCATGAAGGTGGCCAGCCCGTCATCTGACGTGGGCATGATGAAAGACTTGAAATCCTTTGCCTCGCAATTTGATCAGCCATCTCTAGCCAGAATGAACAAATCCCTGGAGGAGTAATATTTATGACGGGCTCGTTTGGACCAAGAGCTCGGTGATAAAGAAAGCTTCTATCAACATGAAGCGTTGACATGCCGCTAGAATTTGGAAGCGGCAAACAGTTCTAACAGTTAGCTACTAGTTTGTTAATAGAAGGGGAATTGGCACTCTTGTTATAGGAAGTTTCATGTATTTGTGAGCAACAATAGATGCCTCACTCTTGGCACAGATGAAGAGAATTTCATACTTGCCACATATTCAACAGCGACAAACGGCTAGTGGTTGATGGAAAATAAATCTATTCTCATAAAATGGAACTTCATACATCCATATCATTAAAAGAGGATATCAAGTGACTTTTGTTCCCGATCTGGGAATCTGCCTTGAGTCTGCCGCCGCCCCGCAGCTGAAAGCCTGGATGATGCTCCGCCACAACTGTTGATTAATAAAACCTCAATGGAACCAGGTTCGACAGCCCGTCTCTTGATCTGCCTAATCTGCGGAAAGATGTGCATAGTTATTCATGACTGCAGTGTAGTTCCCTCTGCGTAACCGCATATCAATATCCTACCTCCCTTTTCTTCGTCTTGATCGCTCGATCCGTTATATGATGCTCTGAGAAATAGGTCGCGATGGCATTCCACGACCTGTACCCAACCAGATTAGACGATTTTAAGCCTCAGATTCGAGTCCTCGAGATCATAGACGACAACAATAATGGCAATGTCTCATGCAAATTACATACTATCACTCTCGATAACTCGTCGCATTTCGCAGCCTTGTCCTATGTTTGGGGCGACCGGAATGCGATGACAGAGATTACAGTCAATGGTAAGAGCATCTCGGTAACAAGAAACCTAGCCGGCGCCCTGAAACATGCCCGTAAGTACTGGAAATACGAGTTTCCCGACAAAGATCCGGCTTCTTTCAGAATATGGGCAGACGCCATCTGCATCAATCAATCAGATTCGCTCGAGCGAAGTGAACAGGTCACGCTCATGCCTCAAATATATTCAAAAGCCAAGCTAGTCCTCGGCTGGCTGGGGGATCAGCATAATGAAGACATATCAATTGCAACTCAGACAATAGGCCTCATACATGCCGCTCTCGCAAGCATTGGGGATGACGAGCATAAATTGCTACAGCTAGAGTGGCTTAAAAATTATCCGTCCCTGACCGTGGCTCCCGGGTGTGACAGAAGATGGAGTGCTCTACATGTCTTGGGAGGCTTGCCGTATTGGAAACGGGTGTGGATTTTGCAAGAGAATCTTTTGGCAACAACCATGTTTTATATAACTCCAACAGCGATGATAGAAGCCAATACTCTTCTACAAGCATGCGTTGGGTTTGGTGTCCTCTGCGAATTGATCGCCGATAATCATGTGGCAAAGCCCGACTTTGTTCCAAATCACGTCTGGATGGTTTTCAAACCCCCTGAGGGCACAGCTTTCAATGGATTGAGAGAGATTCAACGTCTAGGGTCAGCCAAGTACACCTTGCAAAATATGCCTTCACGTAATCTCGGTACAAAGCAAATTCTCAGGGGGCATTTACATCTGTCACAATACGGCGGCGTTCTTGAGGCTACAGATCCCAAAGATCATATCTACGGCCTCTTGGGAATTAGCTGCCTTGACATCCAGATTGACTACAGTGAATCCAAGCAACTCCAAGACGTTTACGCAGACTATTGTCGTGCCGTACTACGAATTCTCCAACAGCTATCAAAACGAGATATCTTTTTCCTCCGAGACGCTGGCATCGGTGTCTTCGACACTGCAGAACTGGACCTCCCCTCCTGGGTGCCAAACTACCCTGCGAGGTCAAGGGGCGATCCGACACTCATATTTGGAGGTGCCTTTAATTTGAGTTCAATTGTTCCAGATATTTCATTCCCAAGCATAGCTGGTTTCGAGCTGTCCATTTCTGGCGTTCGCCTTCAGAATGTTAAGCGCATCATGCGGTCACCACCAACCATTGAAAATCTCAAAAAAGGAGGGGATGGTCACGCATGGGTCACGGAATATTTGCAAAGGAAACCAATGTACAATAAGATACCAAGCACTTGGGCTCTGTTCAGCGCGGTGGCGAGAACGCCGAGATTTGCCCTCGACACATCAAATCTGCTCCTTCTCCAGGACTTTTTGAGAATTCTTGATCTTAAGCCGCGCCAAGATATCAAGAAATGCGGCAATATTCCAGTCCAATACACTACAAAAGAAGAGGGCGGCATCTCCATTGGCATTATAATGGATGGCACAAGCAGCAACCCATCGATGATCACTCAGGTCTCCCCAGCGCTGAGTTACACAGATCCTGTTCAGGCTCTCGAGGACAGAATGCTTGAAATCACATATCGATTAATACACATCTTAAAACGAAACTATCATGTCAAATTATTTGAAGCAGGAAAGGAGCTATTGGGCATAGGGCCGCAACACTGTTCTGAAGGCGATATAGTCTGTGTTGTCGACGGATACAGCGACCTTGTGCTTCTCCGAAAGTGCGGAGACCGATATAAGTTCGTCGGGCCTTGTTCGACTTTCGGGATATCAGAAAGTTCTATCAAGGCAGCATTAAATGAGGGGGTTCTGAAGGTCGAAACCTTTCACCTAATATAATACAGCGAGTGACAACAATCTCTCAGATATTAATGAAATATATGTGCAAGGGACCAAAGTCCCAATGCCAATACAGTTTGCATATTCGTAAACCTGATTTATCAAATGTCCAACGCATGGCAGCCCATCCAGATGAGAATAATCCGCCGACCAAATGCTAACAGTTGACCTCAACCGCGTTGGAAAAGTAGGTGTAGGTGTCCGCATGTTTTATGTTCTTCTCTGCGGGCAGTTGAAGCAGCTTATCATACCCATACACCCCAAAGTCAGGAAAGCCCTTAAGCCCATGACTAAATTCATGGATAATGGCACTCGCCTTATCTCCTTGATGGCACTTACCATTGACCGGCTGCTTGAACCAAGGGGGGCAGAGAACGACTTCTTTTCCGGCAGAGTATGCAGGACGCCACGATTGCTTTTACAGAAATCAGTGTCTTTGCAGCTGATGGAGAGTTGCCCCGAAGTCGAGCTCTTGCATTCTCTTGCAATATCATCAAACACCTTGGCCACGATTTCCCGAGTATTGCGGCTATCCGATTTGAAGTACTCCTTCATTCTCTTAGGCGAGCCGCTCCTGGCTACCTTGGCTGCTTGCTGGGAGTTTTTCTGGCAAAGCGACAAGGCATCTTTGACAATCTTCTGCTGGTTGCTGTTGCAAGTTTGTCGAACAAACGTGGAACGCTTGATCTCCTCTTGTATCTGGGAGGCGGCAAATTTGGCCTTCGCCTCAGTACCGTCCACCTTGGTGATAAATTCGGATGAAAACGGAATTATTCCCGTAATTTATGTTGATCCCAGGTCGGCGTATTGGAGATAGCCAGACGCCTGGATCTTGAAGTCGCCACCAGCTGAGAGGTCATAGAATTTGGCCACGTCGAAGGTCTTGTCCAGGCTGCCTCCAGCAGGTAGCTTAACGAAGGCTGTCTCCTCAAGACTATCCACGTCGATGAGTAGACGGATACCTTGAAATTCAACTTTGCTGTCTGGTCACCGCGTTAGACCATGCTGTGTAAATATATCTTCAAGGCAAGGGTCAAAACACTTACCTCCCGAGAATACATTGACCCTCTCCAAGCCTACATCATCCATAATGCTACCAAGCTTCAAGATATTGAGATCCCTATCGTGATGACTGGTCACGGTTGCTTTGACGGTAGTGTTTCCGACGTTTTCAATTCTCACTCCAACGGACGGGGAGGAAGGTGACGATTCAATGGGACTTGCTGCTCCCAGTGAGATCAGTGAAAGGAGGCTTAAAAGCTTCATGGCGGAAAAGAAGAGAGTATTGAACCGGAATCAATGCTTGTCAGGATTCTCAGGTCTTCAAGCCAGAGGTGTACTTGTATTGAGTAAGGTGTGCTCTAATGCGAGGGATTCTGTAGCTTTTTATATTCATCGTCCGCCTTCGAATCCTGATATATATAGATGTGTATGAGCCCTGGCTTCAGGTGTTCCCCTCGTATTTCGACTTACGGAACCTCAGGACTAATCTCAAGCTTGCTTCTCTGTCAGAGCCTGGTTCGGAAGGAGCTGAGACCTGATTGTCGTACATCGGAATGCTAGGCTTACTTGTCTCAGCCTTTCTCCTGCAAGCCTAGGGGGCCGCGAGCCTTTCGGTTTGAGACACTTGGCCGCTACCTTAAAATAGCACGCAAAATGGCCAAAACCTCGTCTTTATTAGAAATAATCATCCACAAGTGACACAATTCTCAGACGTTCCAATTTGCTTTTCGCAAAATGGGGTGGCGGCTCTCGTAATTTAGGCAACTGGGCGCCTTTCTTCTATTTTTGCTGCCTGATACTCATCAGAGCCATGTTCATCAATGCATTAGTGTGATGGATAAGCTGACAGGGAGAAGACAACATGCTCCCAGGTCCATCGACTCGACCTTTTTTTTTTGTCAGAATTCCAGAAGGAATATGACCTTATACCAGGTTTGAGGCACAAGTTCCTTAGTTCCCCTACACTCGGCGTCACGCGAGTGCTTTGAGATTCCTCTCACAAGTCCTTCAGCTGAGCCTTTATTTAATATTGATGACGCTGTCTCTGGCTTTTTATAGCATGAGTAACTAAATATACGGAGGGCGGGTGCTTCACCCGCCAAGCATTCGGCATACGTTGAAATCGTCAGACGGGTGATGAATAATTGAGAGTTACAGTTATGCCTCGTGACATCCAGAAACGGCCTATGAGAGATTCCGAACACGATGACAGCGTGTAAATCAGGACTGTTTCGTCTGAGCTATCGAAGGAACGGAATTCGGTCATTCCATTCAATGACTTTCAACAGCATCACGAGCTCTGTGAATACACATCATGCACAGGCTGGAACCGCACCCGTTACCGGCCTCTTCTCAGAGAGGAGAAATAGCTCGCACCGCTTTACTCTTCACCAGACAAGATAAATTAGTATCGTTACCTATATCCAGGATTATCTACCCAACAAGAGTAAAATATCTAGATATATCGAAGCTCATAAACAGGAACGCAACAGCCTAGTTTAATCTCGTCTACTAAGTGTCTCAGGCTGAACATCCCAGTAAATAGAACTTCTTCACTTAGTGCCAGATACAAGGCATCAAGCAAATCCAGCATTAACGATCCAAATGGCATCGTCAATGAACGCTCCGGCGGCGTCCCACTCATGGACACCTCCGTTGCTGCCGATGTACCCAATATCCTTGAAGTGCCGGAAGTAGCGTGTGGGATGGCTCCAAGATCGGATTGAGCTGCCTTGGCCACCAAGGCCAGCTTGTGGGCAGAACGTGGCATCCTCGGCGAACAGCTTGGTTCCGTCATCAGCATTTAGAACAAGAGCAAAGCCTGCGTGTCTAGTAAAGCTGCCCGGCGTATCGTTTGACTCGAAAGAGAAGCATTCGCTCTTTCCGAGGCCCGCGCGAACAGTCCAGCTAGCTTGCTTCTTCAAGTCAATGCTGCTGGACGAATCAACCACTTGAGTATTGATAGCGGCGCCTGTGTGTGCGAGATATCGCGCTGTACAACACACGGTAGTAGCCTGAAGAGAGACGGAGGAGCCCACCGTAAGCTCCGGTCCGCTGACAAGGGAGGTTTCAGCGTACCCGGCTGCTACGATATCAGCCTGTACGGCGTCTTCGATTTCAGCGGATGGGTAGCCATCGGTCATGACTCCCTCGTAGAATGTGCCCTGGCCACCGTTGTTGTTGTCGCCCCCGATGCCAAGAAGGATGGCGCCCTCCTTGCTCATGGGATTGGATTGTAGCCGTCTACACTCGGCCGCTGACCTTCATAAAAGGTCGACAGCTTGCCGTCTTTTGCATCACCGCCTCTGATGGCCCACAAATTGGGTGCGCCCTTGACGATTGACGTGGTGAACCGATGGCTGATGGTGGGATCACCGGGGTTGTTCGATGGCGACAAGCCGGAGAACAGTCCGTTCTCCAGGTCGGCCATGATCCAAGGACCCTCTCCATCGCCGGAACCCCACCAACTGCAAGAGCCAAACTATTCACCGGAATTGTGAGAATCTATACGTTCCCTGGGAACCATGAGTGGTTGGAGGACTTACATAGATAGTTTCCATGTGCCCATTTCCCGTATCCAGGCCGCTAGGCTCAGCGTTGCCATAATCAAAGCAGCAGGCATCGTTGTAATGTGTGCCGTCTAGAACTGCGTACATGCCCTGAGGCTCATCCCCGATCGCTGTCTCGACAGCATTGTTATTGCGATATCCTGTTCCGGGTGCAACAAAGACTCCGTATGCTTTCTGGCCATTCAGAGTCACGGGCGCTCCTATTGCGCTGGCCAAGTTGTCATAACCATCCACGTCCGGACCAGGAAAATAGCCAGGCGGGGCCTGCGTGAGGTGGTTGCCTGTGCCGGACTGGTCGTAGACGATGGTGATGAGGCAAGTCGTGCCGGCACAGAAGTTGTCTTGGGCACCAGCACTGGCTACGCCGCCCGCAAAGAGGGGTGAGATATCAAGCGCGGCATTGTCAGATGCTCGTCTAACCTGATAGAGCGGTCCCGTAAGAGCTGTAGAGGGCACGTGTAGTGCCGTGAGCAGCGATGCAGGGCGTGCCACCTGAGGCGTAGATATCGCATGGAGCAGCAGCGGCGAGGTGGAAGGATGCTGTGGTGGCAAAGACCAGAGCGAATATGGACATTTTCTCGGACAGTCGCTTTGGTGACATAACTCGCAGACTCTGCAGGCAGGTTTATCAAGTCTTATGTCTACCTATTTCTAGGTTGTTTGGGTTCGAGATCAAGGTCTGATCAGAGAAAAGGGGAGGATCACATGGCTTTTAACATCAACGAATTGCGCGCCCATGCGGTTCTCTTCGAGGCGTTTTTCACCAAGCAAGTCATATAACCTCTTACACTCCAGGTTTCCAAAGCTATAATTGGAGCGTTAGCCCTTTTCTTGGAGTCATTGGCTCGGATGGTGTATTTCGTGAAGCGCGTGCGGTAAACCCCAAGGATAAAATCTACTGTAGCCGATGTTACACTCAGCACTTCCAAGAATGACTGAGAAGATGTCACATAACACGAAGTTCCCAAGACAGGGCTTCCGGCTAATAGGGAAATACCATGTTTAATCCCTCCGAGGCATAGGAGAGATTTCTGGAGCCTAATGGTTCCGTCGCTTAGCATCCGCTCGAAAATTGGCGGCCTGCCAAAATGCATGCAACGATTTCAGACCTGGCAGCTGAACATGGGCGGCAGAATAGATGGGTCCCATTGGCGCGTATCCCGCAAAGGTTGTTTACCCTTCCGATTCCCAAATAGTACGAAGCACTCACAAGGCAAATGTCTTTGATCCTCTGGCCATTTCTGTTCATCTCATTGCCACCCGCCTGCTAGGCAGTCTCAATAGCCCTAGCCCCGGTGCAACAGCGTATCCCTCCAAATAAAAAATTGGAACAGGAAAACGAAAGAGGGGGAGAGAAAAGGCCGGACGGTGAAGTGTAGTAGAGGGCGTGATAGGTGGTCCCTGTTTAAGCATGAGCAACCAACGATGCACAAATATGCAGAGATAGCTTGAGGCGCCGGGCTGTGACCTTCGTATACAAGGATGGGTGGTGACACTTTTGAGGGCTCGCCTGTTGACAAGGAGGGCCCATTGTCTCACTTTCAATTGCCTACTTAGGAGGCTAAGACTGCTGTGCAGTTAAGCCACCCTATACAGTAGGATGATATAGGTCTGCGACTGCTTTGGGCGGGTTAAAATTGCTGTGCAGTTTGCTGCCCATCTCAGTGACGTCATTAATGCACTACTAATAAAAGTCAATTGCGTTCAGCGAATCGCTCAAGAAAAACACTCTAAATGCCCGCACAAGGATTGACGTACGAGCACAGTGCATCACGTGATTGGACTCCTACGTAGCGTCCAATCTCTTATGGACACACAGGTCGAGAGCCAGTCAATTTAGCAATTGTAAACATCTTAAAAACAAAAATTACCAATTATTCCACGCTTTGACGCGCGAACTTAAGTAATCTAAGCGTGGTGTGCGACAAGGTTCTAGTCACCAGCTGGCCGTTATCTGATCAGATGCTGTGTGGTAGGTACTTGTGTACATGGCCAGAATTGAGCCTCAGTACCCCCTGCTCTTTGATTGGGTCAGACCCGTAAAATATTATCAAGGCGATCAGAAATCGGCGTAAAAGCGGACCGCCCCTTCCATCATTGCATCTTGTGCAACTTGCATTATTGTTACTGGCTCGAGCGGCGTCTCGTATTCTGAGACAACAAAATCACATGGTGGCTTCGTCAATTCTCAAAGTCACACGAAGCGGTGAATTAGCTCATTTGACCAGAAAAGAAAAACTCACAATTTCGGTCGCGTCGGCATCATCTCATTTTGCACGGTCGCTGAGCGTGCTGCACCACCTCCTTCAGCCCTTTCAGCTTCCTGCAGCCACTGGGCTCTAGCTGAGCGGTCCGTGGAAATAGCGCTGCGCCATGATTCGAGGTGGAAAAAGTAACCTTTCCCTGGCAACTGGGACGGTTTTGAGATCTTGAGTGTCGGATTGAGGCCGGGGCCTCCCAACAAGCGACCAATGTCTATTATGGGGCTGGATTCAAACGACGATGACAATGCAACCTTCGCGATGCTGACATTGTTCAAAGGAGTGTTCAGCTATGCGGTTCTTCTTCTGCTGACGACCCTCCAATCCACGAAAGTGCAGATTGAGACACCCACCTTTGCTGCATCCTTTGCTTCGGTAAGAGAACCCGCCCAAAAACATGTCAGACGAGGTTGCTAGGTCTCATTGCAATTCTGTGACACCCTCGATCGATATTCTCCCAATGGACGAAGGTATGAGATGAAGCCTTTGTCAACATGGGCCAAGCGACTGCGGGTTTCTCCCATAAAGATCAAATCGCCTACATCGACGCTGGCAAGAAAAGAAACCGTCCCGGGACATGGAGGCAATCCTTCCTTGCGCCTGTCAGCTTATGAGATAAGGTGGCTGTCTTGGCATGCATCCATGATGCATCTCAAGCTCAGCTCTCTAGCACTATTGGAATATTTCTTGGAGGCTCCCCCATAATTGGCTGGATGCTTGCCATTGCGGAAGTGATGAGCAGTGGCGTTCCTGCAAGCAAGAGACTTTTCAGAGTCTGGATCGTGCCCAATATGGCTGTGAGGCATTCCCTCAAAATGTCTGCCTCCCCCACAAAGCAGTAGCTGGAATATTATCCCTTCTCCATCGCCCGATCTGGGGATACCATTCATCCAACAGATCATGCAACCGACACTGGGAATAATGTTCTCGGTAACCTCTCTTCGGCATCAGCTGCGGGGCCAGATCCCGGCCCTATTTCTGCTTTTCTTGTTCCTCGCTCTCAAAACTGTCCTTGCTGTCTCCCAGGAACCGCAGAGCGACTTTTGTCGGAGATTCTCCCACCAATCGACCGTGATCGACGACCGTCTATACATTGACGGCGGATACGTCAATTACAAGAAGGACGATAAAGCCTACGTAGCGACGGCGAACGAACCTAGTGAGTCGATCGACCAAACTACCACTGGCCACTGGGAAATTTGCTAATTTTCCCTGAAGATATCTGGCTCGGATATCATGACCTCAAAAACTTTGGACCAGATGGCCTGCTCAACCCACAGCTTCACATAGACTTGGACAAAAACAAGACGTTAGTCAAGCTCGCAGCGCTAGTGTATTTATTGAAATGCTGACCTCTTGTCCGCTTTTTAGTATGCCCACAGTCGCCGGCGGAATTCTATGGCCCGACAGCATCAACAAGCGGTTCTATCTATACGGCGGCAATTGGATATCGCCACAGAGGGCAGATGCCTTCACCCTCACAGGCTATGACATCATCAACGACCGGTGGGACGACTTCGGCCCTTCGAAGATCAAGCTCAACGTCTCCGCCCTTGGTGCTGGTGTTGGCGTTTCGCAGACTGGCAAGGGCTACTACTACGGAGGCTGGGTCAGCGACAAGTCGATGGAGGGAGGGCCCAAGGACGCGGTGATGGTCTCTGACTTCTACGAGTACAGCTACGACAACAACACGTTCAAGGCGCTGAAAGGCATAGACGACCGCCCGAGAGCCGAAGGAGGGATGGTATGGATACCGACTGGCGACTGGGCGGGCGTGTTGGTGTACATGGGAGGCATTGTCGGTGACGGCGATAATAAAACTTCCCCCCAGCCCTTGGAAGAGATATTCCTGTACGATGCGACGATGGGAGTATGGTACAAACAGAAGGCGGAAGGGGAAGTCCCCCAGAACCGAGGACAGTTTTGTGCCGACGTCGCTCGGGCGCCCGATAATTCAAGCTATAACATGTGAGTATTACTCGGATCGCCAGGACACACGCAGGCTGACCAAGCTCAATAGCTATCTCTGGGGAGGGAAGGCTGAATACCCGCCTCTTACCAATGCTTCAGCGTACAGTGACGTCTACGTCCTCTCGATGCCCTCGTTTAAGTGGCTCAAAGCCGACCCTGACATTTCCATCGCCCCAGCCAACCGTACAGGCTCGAGAGGGCGCTTCGGCTCATCCTGTAACATGGTCAACAACATGTCACACATGTTCATCATCGGTGGTAACTACACAAACGAGACCAACAATGAATGCGAGCCCGCGTGGGGAGTGCACGGCTTCTGGACAGGCACGGCGAACAACACGGGTAACAATAAGCAGTGGTGGGGGTTCCAGACCAAAGACACCACCAGCAACGTCGTCCCCTCACTGGTATACAGTGCCATTGGAGGTGACAAAAATGGCGGCGCAGTAACCAAAGCGCCCAAGGATGGCTTCAGCGCGGACAACAGGCCGCTCGCCAACCTGTTCAGTCTCACCTGGCTGTCACCAAACCGCCAGCCGTCCCGCAACGTTGGCGGCGCGGCCCCATCGAGACTCAGCACGGGTGCTATTGTCGGCATCGCCATTGGCGGTGCCGTGGCCCTAGCCATCATCCTCTTCGCCTGGTGGAAGCTAGGAAAGAGGGTCCTGCGGCGCCGCGAGGAGAGGCACCGGGCGGAGGTGACGCAGGAGGCCCAGCAGATGAACCAGATGCAGCAGGAGGAGCTGCAGAAGCAGCAGACGCAGCACATGTACCAGGACCATCAATTCCATTCCGGGCAGTCTCACTACTCGTCCTACTTTGGCAGCGGCAGCGTGGGCACCGTTACCACCCCGCCGTTGAACGACTCGCACTGGGGCTCGCTGCCTGTGCCTCGGAGTACTGATCAGCAATTCTCGGCAGATGTCACAGAACTTCCCGGTTCGGATGGCAATGCTATCATAGAACATAAACCTTCTGTGTCTCCGGTCAGTCCGCGTATGTAAGGGGTGGTCCTGCTTGTTCAAGTGTTACGAGCGATGTTCAAGCGCGGATGTTGCACTCTTTAATCTTTTGTCTTTTCAGGCTGTTGAGGTTTACATTTGAATCATGGGTTGAATCTTTTCACAAATTACTTCGGTAATTTGACTTCTTTGTGATTGAGAGGACATGCAAACGGGTTGCGCGGGGTCCGGTTTTGGTTAAACGCGTAATCTAAGCTTCTTTCAATGTCCGCAATTGAACACAAAACTCTAGAACTGTTTTGATATGATCTCACGAATCCCCCGCTATTTCACGACGGTACTAGACATGTCTCATGTTAAATCCAGAAATAAAGAATCATACAAAAAAACAGAAGTAGACCTCGTAATGCTATGCCAAGAAGAAACACATCTATCCCACGAGCGAAGATCAAGAACAATCATTTACAGATTCCCATGTCCGAAATGGACTAGAGGGGAAACAACTCGGGATGCCACCGGATATCCTCCCACTTCGACATCTCCAAAAACCCGATATCGCGGACCGGCAAGCCGCGATCGACCTCTTCTTCCATGTTCTCCAGAGTCTCCTGCAGCCGCGCCATCCTGTCGACCTGCTCCTCGTAGGTAAACAGCCTCCAGAGGGCCGCCGGGCCGGCGAACCAAGGTACGAGCGACAGCACGGTCAAGTAGGCGGGCCGGTACTGGCCGTGGTCATTCCTCTCGCGCAGGGGCGTAAAGGCGCTGAACTGTGGCAGTTGGTACAGCTGCAGGTAGAGGTAGTGCAGTAATATTGGTCTAGGGGAAAGCGACGCGATTTCATTAGCTCAATTGGCAAGAATGAAACGTGAATCAAAGCAATTCGTGCTTACAGTAATGGGTTAACAATCCATTTTATCCATTTCTTGCGGTCGAGCTTCTTCTCCAGGCGCGCCGTGAACCGGGCGAGGTTCCGGATGTCCTGTAGTAGCGCGAACTGGATCATCTGGAGCTGGGCGCGGGATGTGTCAGGCGGCGAGCCTAGATATCACAGAGTCAGTCATTTGCACATTGCCTGCCGCCAGATGAGTTGTCGTGGGCGTACCGGTCCGGGGTGGGCGATGTGTTGTGCCAAGCCAGAGCTGGCGGTAGTGCTGGAGGCGCGTCAGAATGGCGATGCGCAGCCCCTGAGCGACGTCCTCCGGCGGCGGCTTGGTGGGCGGCGCATCTTCCACCTCATAAGAGTATCCGTACTCCATTTCCCGAGCAAGCCATTTAGCAGGCTCAGGTTTTGTCGTCTCGATTGCCCCCTGGCCGTGAGAGCGTCGTCTTCTACCTTCGATCTGTCCAACGTGGTCTGAGCATCAGCTGCAAAAATGGTTGCTGGGCAGATTGTTAGTGGGCCGTGCGCGTGAGCAGCCTACCCTAGAGCCAACGCCGCGTAACTTGAAGCCAATGATTTTGTCTTTATATGCAGTAGCATAACCAAAAATCAAGCCATCACTAAAAAAAAAAAAAAAAAAAAAAAAAAAAAAACTGATCGAACATGAATCTTTGTCTAGTGATATTTGCGCTGAGCTCTGAATTTTGCATGACGGTGGAGGCTGGCAGTTTGTGAAGGCAAGGTGGGATTCTACTGTCGGACTTTGGTTATCAAGATCGCGACCGTAGGTAAAACTTGCCTAATTATCAACACACGACTTTACTTGTCTTCATTCAATTAGGGAAAAACAAAGAGCACAGAAGGAAGATGAACAGTGCTCATCAGTAATCTCGCCCAATGCGCGCGAGACAGAATGTCTTGATGACCATGGATTTGATGGCTCTTTCGCTGCTTATCGCAGCGCGTCTAGGGTCTAGGGTATGTGGGGAAGGGAACGCGTCTTGTGTTCCGTCTTCTGTGCACAACACCAAAATAACGTGGATGGCGATGTGTAAATGCATGGGGTGGAGTGAAGTCAATTGAAAAATAAATTCCTGAAATCAGCAGATACTGCTATTTGAACCTCTCAATCTTGGCTACAGTTTCCCTCACCTCCGAGATGGGTAGCCACCTAAGAACTGCTGGGATTGGCGGTTGAACTTTGTGGAGACTCCGCTTGTGATCGGCTATTTAAGGGCGTCTCCTCCCACCACTATTTTGACTACATTCGTGCATCACCACCACAAGTGAGCCTCGCATCGAACGCTTCTGCTCTGCCATGCACCGCTGCTGTTGCATTTGCCTCCAATAATGTTACGATAAAGATGCTTCAAGAATATCACTTCCATGAAACCATTCATTTGCTAGGCATGCATCATCAAAAATGGTGTGGATGAACGAGTGCATGCAGGTTGGGGAGTGCTCAAGCATCATCGTCGGTGGTGCAATGCGATGCTTCATTTGCAGCGGCTAGCATCTTCACGATGGCCTCACTGCCTGCAGTATAGAGAGATGCCGCTGCACTCAGCGCATACTTGCTGGCCGCGGCCACTGTCGGCGTGGTGGCCTGCTCGCCAACCGCCCACGAGTATCGACGAGATAATTTTCCCTGCATACCCCCCCCCCCAACCTGAGCTCGAACAGCCCATAGCTTTATACCCCCCAAAAAGGGCGCAGTAGTCAACACGTCCGGGGGACCAGCATATGGTCTATCGGTGTTATGAGTGTGCGAACGGTCACAGCCAGCTGCGCGCTCATGACTCCGATGGCATATGCAAGTCAAGACCTGGTACTTTAGCTCTTGAGGATGCATCGGCCACACTTTATCACCGGTTGTAATCCCAGCGCGTCCCCCGGCGTTGAATCTTTGGCACCCCCCCTTCATTAATTTGAAATATTTTTTTTGACATTTTGCTTTTTGGATTAAGGGTTTGTCAATCTCAGTAATGCAGACAAGTCGTGCGCAGAAGAGTCACGACCATGACGGATGATTTTTTTTTGTCTTTGGAATTTGAGGCCAGACTGAATCAGGATGAGTGCTTGCGATGCATTTAATTGGGTTGTTCAATGGTTCTGTTCGAGTGATGCCTGCCGCCAGCTCCGTCTCTGTGCTTCGATCTCCAGCATTGTTATTGTGGTGTGTCAATTGAGTGTCTGCCAGACAGCATCTTTCGTCTGAAAATTGGAAGAATTGTAAAATTGTACCATCTCTGACCTGCACAATCGTTCGTCTGATCAAATATTTTGTCACCTGCATGTAGCAAATCATCTGGTGTGCATGCTTCGAGTTGGTGCTTGGCTCTGACAATGCTCAGCTCTGTGGCTGCTGCTCTTTTGGTTCCATAAAGGTACTTCTGCATCCCATGATTTTGAAAAGTGGGGCTTCACGAAGGTCGAGTGTTCGAACCAGCCAGTCACCACGCCTTTTATTTTCCTTTATGCGGATTTTTATGCATTAAATTCAATTGAATATTGTTTTTTAAGTCCTCAGTAATCAAACAAATCCATCTTTAAAGGTTTTCCAATGCGGTTATGATACTGTAGTTGGCGATCCATCTACGCAGCGAATTCTCCGGAGCAGCTTCTCCGCCTCGAGTCGCGATGCATCTCCTCCTCCCAAACAGCAGCAGGATCCAGCCCTCTAGCTGATGAAGGAAAAATTGCCGGTCGATAATTTGGATTTTCTTACGAACGGGACTTCAAATTATATGTTTGCGCCCGAAAATGCACATCGTCATCGACTGCGCCTGTCATGCTACTGTCAGTTTATTGCATCCAAACCCTCAGCCTGGGAGAACTGGTGCGAGGATGTGTGAGAAGATTCCAGTAAGTAGTTTGGGCGTCTTGGTGCAGCCCTGGTATTCGTTTCTGATGAAAAAGCCCAAGATCGGGCTTTGCTTCAAGCTGGCGGCCCTCGTCGTCCGAGTTTGAGCCCTGCTGATTGATTGTCACTACTCAGCTGACAGATTTCCCTGAAGCTTTCTACAAATAATGCCTGCCATGCGTTTGCATCCAAAGTTTTATTGGCCCAAAAAACGTAGGTGCTTCAGTCACTTCCTCTATATTGAACGAATTGTTCTAATGATGCTTGTAAACAGAATCAATGACACATTGTATTCGTGCATCTGCCATAGAAGTCGAAGTTAGCACACCAGGGCTCATGCCGCCAATACAGCATTCATACCTAACATAAATATATCATCTAGGTTTTCCCGCGAGAGCCGAGCAGCATAATGGCCCAGACGGTAATAACCCTTGCCAGAATGGTCGCAATGACCAAGGCTCCAGTGGTCAAAAACATAAGGGCCACGACTCTGGTGTGCCATGTATCTTCGAACTGGGTTCTCCAACCACGTTGCGGCCGCGCCTGGAAAAAACTCCTCCTGAGGTCATCTTGTAGCGTAGTGAGGCCGAGGCCAAGAATAAAGCCGATTGCATTCAGAGCACCGACCAACTATTTATTTCGTAAGTACTAGATGACTACTAATAGGCGATATCATTTGAAATTCAGCGATCACATACGAACCCTTCTAAGAAAATCAATCATGATAGCGAATGCTCTGTACAGTGCCCTTACAATCGCGGCTCGCAACTTGTCGTGGAGAGCGGACCTGCTTCCCTACAAAAGAATGAGAAAAACCGATGAATGTATGGTTAATGAATTTTTTTCGTTTGCAGTACTACATGAGGGGGTGAGGCTTTAAATAATTCCAAACAATCTTCTCCCTTGCCTCGTCAGCTTACGTCCCGAGTAACACTGTTACCCCTAGGCAGTAAGTAGCATTGATACTACGTTCAATAAGAATTTAACAGTTCCAGCCAATCGATGCTGAAAGCTTCTGACACCCATCTGCAGAGAACTTTAGCAGGCCCAATTATGATGCGTGTTGAGATAGTCATGCGTCAGGCGATGTATCCAATGACAAACTTTCTGCGGATATTGATGCCCGACATCTTGTGTGCTAAGAGTGAGGGGCTGCCTGGCCGTTATCCCAAACTAGCTGGGTTGCTACCCTTCATTATGAAGTTTTTATATACAAAGGAAATCCGAGATGGCCACTTTAATTGCAGATTCGACGAGCAGGCAACCCTCCACAAAATATCACGGCCAGCGAAGTAGCTAACGAATGAGCAGAAACAGAACACGCTAGAGCAAATCTAAGCTCTGTTCAAGTTCATCCAGGTCCTCTAACGAGAGGTAGATGTCATACCCGGAGAATGCTTGGCGACAGTCGGTGTTGTCCGTCTTGGTGAAGTCTTCGTCAACAAAGGGACAGTCCCGGATATACTGCCAAGTCAAGTCGGTGCTTCGATCCACAGGACGTCCCGGAGCGCCAGTTTGTATGATCCGGAAACCCTTCAAGTCGACTTGAGTCAAATGTGGGAAACTTTCCCCATTTAGTGCCGTAAGAAGGAGGCGAAGGAAGGATGATGTCAGGTCAAAACACATGGGCTGGTACACGTTGCTTAGATTCACACGGCTGGTCCCACACATGCTGCGGAGATCCTCCTCTGTGGGAAATAGATAGGTTGCCTCTCCGAGAGTGATGGAGATGCTCTTCAGTGTATCTTTCGCGCTGCAGAAGTGTCAGTCAGTATGTTCAAGTCTGTGCAGCTGTGCTGCCAAAACAGTCGACGAAAGCTTACCTTCGAATAAATGCAGCCGTCTCGATGAATGTAGTTATATCATTGCGAAGGTCTGCCTGGTCGTCGAAGGGGCTGAGGCTGAGCTGCAGATGGGCCATGGAACTCATGCGTCGCCGCCCCAAGATTCGCAAGGGTAGCCACATCGGTCCAGGGAAGATGGCTACTTCGCCACGTTCCTGTCGATTCCACAGCTCGTCACTGATACCTTGATGGTTGTACAGATCATGGGGATAGCGAGAATCTCGGGTCTTCCACACCAAGTCTTGCGGGATTGGCTTGCCGTTGGGCAAGGCGCCTTCGTCTTGCAAGTAATCGAATCTAGCACTGACAAGTTTGCTGGCATCAAGTGAATTCACTATGGCTCTTACCAGCCTACGGGACATCCACCCAACGAGACGGAGGTGAGTAACGGCGGGGAAGAGTGTGTCTGGATTCTGCTGGATGTACGGCTCGTAGCCGATCTGATGCAGTGACGCGAGGTCCAGGTGGGTGACGGAACAAAGCCGACCAAATACTTCCCATGTCCGAAAGTCGATGTCGGTCATTTCGTCCCCGTCGCAGCTAAACTCGTCGGTATCATGCCACACCAGGGTCCATGTGAATATCTTGACATGCATTGCAAGCTCGGGGCGGTCGATTATCAGTCTAAGAAAGGCGCGCTGGCGTGGGACCAGACTACGAGGGCGGTATCTGTCGGAGTAGTCGCTCATGACGACCCTCGAGAGAGCAAAAGTTGGGTCCTCATACTCCGGAAGGCGGCCACGGTTGTGGCTGCTGAGGTCAACATCCTTCAGCAAGAAGGGAAGAGACAGGGTGCGCCATAAAGAAGAGACGCATGCGGCGCTGACGAGCGTTGTCGTGTCACCCACTAATGCGTCAAAGACCAGCAGCAAGATATCTGCTGGGAGTGTGAGGGTACTAGACATGCTGGAGACTGAGCTGACCTGAAGGAGGTGAGGTTACTGGCCACATATGCTGACTCAGTTTCATGCATTTATCTTCGGTGGTATGTGCGACTTTCTAACCCCAGTCCCAAGTCCCTCAACAAGCACGTCACGCCAATACCACCGTTAGGTCAGCAATCTATATATAGCACATAGGCCATTGATCTTGATTTATTTATACTTAAATAAAGACATTAGAATTAAGTTCGATCTTGCGTCATGAGAAAAACTGTTGCCCCTCTTGCTATTGTAGCTGAAGCTATATCAATGTCATACAAACTAAATCTTATGCATAATGTAGACCTTACGCTAGAAAGTAGGAGGTAATGAGCGAAATTGAACCATCGTGATATAACGAGATATGAATTCATAGAACGATATATTTTGATAATGACCTGCAATAGGGGGCCTTCATTGTGGCGATAAGACGGAGGTTACTCGAGTATACTGTTAAGGTCCCTCCCGATCCTGATCATAGTCGTCCGGTGCGGTCAGAGAAGGTACAGATAACAAGATTGGAGTGTAAATTATAAATCAAATTCATTTGTAAGGTCTATCCGTCTAATACTATCCAATTCATAGCCGAAATGCATCGCTGGAAAACAATTTCGCCAACACCGTATCGCTGCAATATTCATTCTCCCCACCCTTACACATTCTGCAGGGAACCGTCGCTCTTGCTCTCCAACTGCGTCGTACCTCGGTCGGGTGGCATAGAGAAACCGACAGAGAGATAGATGATGACTGCAATATACTCGACAAGCAAAGCCATCATCGCAAAGGCCACGGCAGAGCCATAGAGCGGGTTCCATGTGGTGCCCCTGTCAAACTCAAAGGTCACCTGGAGAATTCCGTAGACACAGCGAACGACCAGGAACGGGCCAGAAGCAAGAGCTCCCAAGATGACCTGAAATCAAGAGTATTAATTATTTGCACTTGATTAAACAAGGGACAGAATGGAAGTCGTAAACATACCCTGCGGCTGGTTGGAATCAATGACTGCTTCATGCTCCAGAACCGGATGTGGGCGGCGATGAGGAATGCGATGACCGCAGCGAAGATGGCATATCCAACAAGCTGTAGAGTTCGGCCTAGGTCACGGGTGGATTGAGACTGCTGGCTGATGATACTACCACCTGCTGTAAGAAGAGCTGCGGCAAGGAGAATGGAGATTCGGAGTGCGCGAGTGGCCTGGTCAATCTTGTTTGAAGGGGGGAAGTTGTCCATGAGACTGATACCGGAAACAATTAGTCAGGAAGAGTGCGCCGCGATGTCTGCGTCTGGGCGGACTTACACGATTCTGAAGAAACCGGACATGGCGACAATAAGAGGAACGGTGCCGACATTGAGCAAAACAATTGCGGCAATGATGAGCCCAACGTTCGACGGATCCTTCTCAAGCGCGATCACAATAGGTCCTCCGGCAACTCTCACTGCATAAGTATTAAGATGTCAGCGGCTGAAATGAAGTAAGAAATATAGTATAGAGGTCGAAACATACTCAAGCTGAAGGGCACCATGGGCCACCAAGCCATGCGCGGCCGGTTTGACCAGTTACGCACGATGAGCCATATTGAGAGGGCAGCGATTGGGATATAGAAGATGATTTGCGCGATGCTCAATGCTGTATGCGGATTCATTTTGGTGTAAGGGGTGGTTCGCGTGTGGTAGGTTGTGTGAATTGTAGTGATATGAATCAGATGATGGCGTTCCAATGAGGAAGATTGGAAATGGGCTGTATGATTTGAATTGCTGGTGATAATTTTCCAATGCCGAAGTAGAGGAGATACTAGGCATTAAATATATTTTGATTCTCTTCATTAAAAGTGCTCCCTACGTACGTTTTATGAGATATCTAGGCGCAGCCCTACGATCTTCGGTCCGGATTAACGAAAATGGAATGCCATTCGAATAGAGGCGCAGCGGGAAAACGCCCAAGCCCATCTTTCCCCAGCGCTAAAGCAGATTTGGGTGAGATTCCATGAGTTGAGGTGCTGAGTAACGGTTGGGGCTGCCGAAGCACAAGCGTAGAATGCCAGATACACTCCACTTGTCCATGGTCTTAGCCTTTCTTGGGTATTATGCCACGAAGCTGGTCAGGGCAAAGGGGGGAATCCTTTGCTATGGCAGCTTTCGGGCCTTCGGTGACGGGGTGGCTGACGAACAGCCAGTGTTCAAAGGCTCGAATGAATGTCCCAGCTTGGCTAGCAGATCGGGTCCCGGCACTGGAGATGGGGAAATTCTAACGGGCCTTGTTATTCCATGCGAGACTAGACTACATCTGGCCTTATTCCACGAGTTTGATGGCCCACCCAGACTCGTTGAAGCCGTTGCCGCTTAACCGAGCTTTCACGAATTACCGCTAAGTCTCGATAATATGCGAATGCGATCTAAGCCTCCTAGATTTCCACAAAGAAAAACTGCCTTGCGAAACTTGGTTTATGTAAAGTGATGCCAGTGATTCCCCCAATCAAAGCCCTCTCTTTGTTTGAGCAACCCCCTACCAACTGCAAACTCTGCAACTTGCTCTTGATTCTCGAATTCCGCAATATATGTCATTGGGCATTCGGTATACCACATCTGCGGCTGCGTGATATAGAAGACGTCAAACTTTGGGTTTAAGGCTTCTTTTAAGCTTGAGACGTCTCCCTTGAGATGTAGGCTCTCGTATGGGTGGGTGCAAGCCCGACCCTTGCAAGTCTTGAGAACCATGATCAGTGCGTTTAAGCGGGAGAAAACCTGCCCGAGGGGCCGCCCGGCAAACTGATGCGTATCGGAACCATTGTTGTCGGCTGCCAGATTGACTGTTTGGTATGGATCGGACTGGGGTATTGTCAGCCCGATCTTTAAAAGCATGGATGTGAAGAGGCTAGTCTTACCTTGAGGTCAAAGAACTCGGTCTCATTAGTGCACCACACGGAGTAGTAGAGGCTATACTCTGGCGAGGAAATTCTCAGCCCTTTATACGTGTTATTCACGTAGGCATGTTGTATGACGCCGGCCTCTCTGTTACCATCGCTTCGCATGCCATAGTGACCCTCCGGAACGGCCTGTGCAATAATTAAACTTAGTAAATCGCCGCGCAAAAACGTTGGGATCACTTACGGCGCCCCAATATTCTATAGTAGCATGCTCATGTCTTTCCGAATCAAGAGATGCAGTGCCCAATGGCATGGCGACCCCATCGAGATCTGTTTGCCCAACGCCAGCAATCTTGAGCAGCGTGGAGCTCACGTCCGTATGGGTGGTAACGGCATCCACCACAGATCCTTCATCAACACCGGGCCCACGGACGAAGAATGGAATATGAATATCCGTATCTGCAACTCTGGTTAGCCTAGTCAAATGACTTGCCCTGGCATTGTCTCTCACCATATCCGCATTCTTTGCCAGGGTGCAGTCCATGCTGACTGATGTGATATCCGTTGTCCGATGTATAAAAGATGTAGGTATTTTCTAGCTGGCCAGACCTCTCCAATTTTTTAACCAGCTCGTGCACCATCTCATCCACAGCCCGCAATGCTCTAAGCCTTTGTCGCTGGTAGTGATCGTTATATTCAAGCACGGTATCATTTAGTGGAGAAAGAGACGAGTGCCAACTGACTCCTCCCTGGATCGGCGCATTGAAGCTTTGATCGCGTGGAATTTTATAGTCCTCGAAAAGGTGCTGATGTCGTGGCGCCACTTTAGGCTCCTCGAGGTAGGAGAGATCATTCTCGATATCGATCACCCAGTTGGAATGAGGTGCGATGGGAGCGACAGTTAGGAAGAATGGATTGTCAAGCTCCAAAGCCTCATCTAGCCAAGCACTGGCTTTTTGAGAAACTACATCTGTTGAGTATTGCCCGGCGTAGCTTACCGGTGCCTGTCCATTGTGCGACATCTTTGCATTCCAGTACTGGTAGGTATAGGGATCGAGCAAGAAGTCGGATCCATTGAATCCTTTGGCGTATGGCTGGTCGAAATTGTCTACGGAGTGGAAGTTCCACAGCTTCCCCACGTAATATGTGTTAAAGCCAGCTTCTTGCATCCATAGGAATAGGTTATCATCATTGATCCCCTGCTGGACCACCTTTGGATATCCTCCATGAGGAGGCGACACATTGGTCACATTGTGATTGTGAGCCGCTTTGCCTGTCCAGAGTGTGGCACGAGACGGGCAGCATAACGCTACTGTGCAATAATGCTGGCTGTAGGTGGCACCTTTGTCGACAACGTGCTCCTATCCAAGGAATTCAGACTTCTTCTTCATGTAGACAGGGGATCGATTAGCTACCTTGAGATATGGCATATGCTCAACACTTTCCATATGTAGATCCTGGTCATCTACCAAGACGAAGAGGATGTTTGGGCGGCGACATAGTGCCAATTGTGCGTAGAGTAAGGCCGAAAGCCAGCGAGCCATCTTCTCCTGGTCTTTGTCGGAATACTTCGAATACTGACAAGCGAACACGTTCGTCTTCAACCTGCACACCCTTGGCAGTTATCATCTCGCGAAACGCACATAATTTTAAGAAGCTAAAGTGCGTCAACCAATGCCCGAAAAATGGTACCCATGTGGGTGGGTTTTCCGATGGCCGACGACACGAAGTCCGATGAGGCCGAAGCTGCCGATGAGCGAAGAAGACACCGAAACCTCCCTGTTGTTTGAATATGCAGTCAAAATACGGAATATAGCCAAATTATCGCGCAATCGATAAAAATACGTATTGGTAAATAGGATCAATTTAGTGACGCTTCCCTGGTCCTGTGCTGGGGTCCCGACCGAGTACCACGAACCAGCTCGTGTTCGGCTATTTTTCACCAACGGCCGCTATTACTCCAATTCTCTCTTGAGCACAGAGCCCAAAAGTTGTCCAGGCAGAAGAATCAGTCCATCAAAAATGAGAGCACAGAAACCAGATACGATGCCCAACTCCGAGGTGGACGAGGGAGCACCGCTGCTTGCCCAGGAGAGCGCCGGTTGTAAGTTGAAGATTCCTGAGAAAGATTCAGGCTTAGTTCTCATGCAACGAAGTGCCAGAATCTGAAGCGGGTACACTTGATGGGAATGAAGTGTCAAATGGAGCATTCTGGCTGGTCTTGTCCATTCTGTTGGCGGGTGCGTTGCAGATCTGTTCCTCCTTACGCTGGCCGCACAGCTCACATTAATCAAAATAGGCATCTTCCTTTCCAATGTCGTCTCCTCTGTTGTGATAGCAACCACCCAGAATATCGCATCTGAATTTGATGCCTTGTCGTCTGCGGCGTGGTTGTTGACGACTTACACATTGGCTCAATCTGCGAGTCAGCCATTGGTATTAGCCGCCAACTCTTATAAGATCCCTTCGTCCCTAACAAAACACACTACAGTACGGAAAGCTATGTGACATATACGGACGCAGGAACTGTCTTATTTTTTGCTGGATCGTTTTCGGCCTAGGTTGTCTTCTTGTGTAGGTCATTCCGCGTAATGCCCATTCGGAAGTGAGAGTTAATACATTTGATAGTGCTTTAGGCCGCCACTATTGGCACGTTATACTGGGACGCGCTATCAGTGGTGTCGGAAGTGCAGGCAAGATTGTACTAACATCCATTATCGTCGCTGGTAAACACCAAATTCCCAATGCTACAGTGTACCTCCGCTAACCTGATAATAGACCTCGTTCCTCTGAGACAAGTAGCGCATTACCGAGCCTATGTAAATCTGACCGCCACGAGCGCAAGGTCAATCGGAGGCCCAATAGGCGGGTTGCTCGCTGGCACTGTTGGCTGGCGCTGGTGAGTGGAATGAGGGTGTACTCTTTCCCTTCTCTCCATACTGATTGCTTTGCAGGTGTTTTCTGGTACAGCTCCCCGTAGCCCTGATTGGTCTTGCTCTTGTGCTTTGGAAGTTGCCGGAGCCCAAAAGGGCAGAAGGAAAGCTCACTACTATAGACGGAAATGAGTCGCAGCAAACAAAACTTTCGAGGGTTGACTTCGCTGGCGCTTTCACGTTGATTGGAACAGTGCTCACAGGTCTGCTTGCCCTTGATATTTTCACGAAGGGAGGACCTCGATTGCTTGTTACAGGGTTGGCAATTACATTCCCGGCCTTTGCGACAGCATTCACCGTTGTTGAAAAATACTATGCCAAAGAACCAATTTTACCACTACAATTGATTGGCAAAAGGGATGTTCTGACCTCCTATACGATCATCGGATTTCAAGCAGCTGGCCAATTTGGAGTGAGTACTATATAGTTAGCCATAGGGGCATTAAACTAATGGCACATATAGCTCCTCTACGCAATCCCGATTTACTTCCAGGTCGTAGGAGGTGAATCGGTCTCAACTTCTGGCCTCCGCATTGCCCCGGTCGTTGTTGGCAATGCGTTGGGAACAGTCTTGAGCGGAAAGCTGATCACCCGCCTCAAGAGGTACAAAACTCTCACTGCGTTGGGAAATGGGATTGGTTTACTTGGCTTCCTTCTTTTATTTGTGACATGGCGCGGGAGTACCAGCTGGTATACTTCCCTCCTGGTGGCTTTGCCTGGTGCAGGAATGGGAATCCTCCAGTCAACCACATTCTTGCACCTCGCCGCGAGCTTGGATCCTTCAGATATCGCAATAGCAGGATCGGCTTGGTTCCTAGCACAGAATATCGGCATCTTGTTGGGGGCCAGCATGTCTACTACTGTGATCAATAGCGTCGTCCAGAGTTACCTGCAAGTCTCTCTAGAGGGCTTTGATGCAAAGGAAGAAGTAAGTGCCTTCAATGTAACTCTAAGTCAAGAAAGGAGTCACTGAAATTCCACAGATTATCCGAAAAGTTACGTCGAATGTTGACAACATGCGGCACTTTTCGGAACCAATTCGAAAAGTCGTGAAGGAGGCATACATTCAGGGGTTGTGTAGCTCAAATGGTTTGTGATTTGTCCTATAATCTGCTTGAACAAACAATATGTTAACTGTGGATAGTGTTTTCTCTCATCATGGTCAGCATATCCTTATGCATTACAGTATCGATGAGAGAAAAACGACTTTGAGCCCCAAAGCTAGCTCAGCCCGAGTAGTGGTGGGCGATGGCTATAGGGTAGGCAAAATAGCAGGAAGAAGAGAGGTGGAGGAGTGGAGGGACTACACTTGATGAAAAATGCGATTGCGTCTTGTAGACTATGTTGAAAATAGACTCTGAATTTACTTTGATGACAGATCAGATAGGGGATTGTGAACATCTGTGTGACTTGAAGATGAAGGTGAAGAAGAAGAACGGTGATGGTGTAGCCAACCAGAGAAGCAGTTGAGCACGCAATTTGGGTGGATTCAACCCACATCTCAGAAAGCCAGTGACAGGACGATTTCACCATCCAACGGTTCCATCAACTGCCCAGCCACGAGGATCCAGGATTTGTTTTTTGTTACCATTGAGATGGAGATGGCTTCGGTGCGCAAGCAGGCTCACTCACGGGCCAAGGCCTGTCTCCGCTGCCACCGGCGAAAGCAGCGATGTGTCGGCTTCCCCGCGTGCAACAATTGCCGAGCCGCAAATCTGCCCTGCAGCCGCGACTCAACCCCGAATATGCGTCGACTGGCCGGTCTGTCAAAGGAAGACTTGCTTAAGAAAGTTGAGGCACTCGAGGAACAGCTGGCGGCCACAGAAACTGGACGACAGGGCCAGGGCTGGGGAGAGCCTTCATTGGCAAGGCGTCAGTCTACCTTTTCGGCCGAATCCGATCGTGATGTGCCACAGTCACGTTCGACAGACACGCCCAGTGACCCAAGGATAGATGGAGATAGGGAATTTCCTTCAGCCCTTTCCCCTCCTTCTCCAGGCCCAGGGTCACTCTGCCCGTCTCTGGAGATAGCAGAGGCCCCGCGCCATCTTGGATATCAAGCACAAGACACACCAGATGAAAGATCTCGCTCATCAATACATCTCACTGAAAGAGAAGGGCTACCGCTACTCGAGACATATTTGGAGAGTCTTCATAGGAGGATACCTTTTTGCGATTACACAGGACTCCTTACGACTCTCAAGCCCCAGCCATCTCTGCCTGCTTTCGGCATAGGGCTGTATCGCCTCTACATGGCGTGCACAATTGGTGCCACGATCAAAGCACTCACAGGCAGTGCTCGATCTCTGAATCCCGACAGATACTTACAAAGAGCTTTGAAGTTGAAGGAATCGTTGGATGAAGGAGATCTGATTGAACAAACAGAGGCTGTATTCTGGATGGTTCTATACAAGCTTCGATTCTCGTTCTCATCAAGTGTTTGGTATCTCATCGGCCTCGCTGTGAGGACTGCTGTGGACGCCGACCTTCACCGCGAGTACCACTATCAGGAACTTAGCCCACTGGAGGCAGAGCGACGACGTCGGCTGTTCTGGTCGGTTTATACAATTGAGAGAAACATCTGCTGGTCGCTGCAACGGCCTTTCAGCTTATCCGACCAGGATATCGATGCTCAAATGCCTTCAATACATAACATCTTTGAATGCATCAATGCTTGCGGCGGGCAGCATGAGCAGTGCCCTCACTTGGGCTGCGACGATGGCCCAACTAGGCCGTTAGACCTCAGAGTGTTCATTGCTAGTATCGAGCTCGCACGATTCAAATCAAAATCTCACAGCGAGCTGTTTCGGGTGGACCAACCAATCGCACACAGTCAGCACCTTCCAGCGCTTCTGCAAAAGATACACGAATTTGAGGCATCACTACCGGAATGCAACGGTCAAGATCGAGAATTTCTACAACTCCATGTTCAAAACGCAATTAGAGTTCTCATCGAACCCTATTTGTACAAGATGGACCCTTCAGATCCCATGTTACAGACATGCTTGGATGCTTGCGGAGGGCTTTGCCAGATTTTCAAAAGAATGAGACAAGGGAGAGAGCTTGGGTACTCTTTCACCATGGTAAACTCTGTCTTTGTGGCTGGGACAACTATATGGTAAACTCTTCTTATTCCAACCCTACCCCCTGCTAGAGCAGCAAACCTAACACGACACTACAGTTTCATCGTGTTCAGAAACCCGAACCTCTGGACACCAGCGACTGCTAACAATCTGCGGGCTTGCTCGTCAACACTCTTCGCTGCGGCAGAAAGAAATAATTCACTGAAGAAGTATTGCGACGTCCTGGAGACCATCATCGAGACAGTCATGGATCACGTCGCGGAGGCTACCAGCCCACATGTCACGGCTGACGATGCGGCAACCTCATCTCTGAAAGGCGCAAGTACACAGGCGGCCTTTGATAAACTGAAGCGTACATTCAAGGAGATGAAGTTTGAGTTCCCATCGCATTCATACCCCCGCTATGCAGTCGGGTCGACCAATGTACAGATGGGCGCATTGGCATCCCCGCGGTCAGCGGTTGAGCATTCCGAGGAATTACTTAGCCGTGAGACCCCCGGTATTATGCAGTGGACCTCGCCTGGCATGATGAATGAAGCCCAGGATGTTGCTTCCATGGGGTTTCTGTTCTACGGAGAGGGCCTTGGCCAGCCTGGTTTCGACCATATACTCATGCCTTAGGAACGAATTTGACTGCCCAATTTGATGTCTTTGACTCAGGAGGCTCCTTGAGGGACTGGCTGGGTTATATTGCGTGATTGACTAGTGAGTTGACGCAATCGAGGAAGTGTCCCTTATTAGCGTTCGGCCATCGGAAATCCCACCGCCAAGACATGTCCGATCGCCGAAACAGCTGCATCAACAGACCGGAAGTCACAAGTTAGACCTCGCTTGTGACTACCATGAAGGATTGCGCAATTGAAGAGTTGCGATGGGTGGCATCGGTCGCATTGTTTATAGATACTGGACCAGAACCTAACTTTGGGACGATCACTCTAGAATAGCAGCAGTCCACACCACGACGGATCCGTGAGCCTTACTTGGAGAGCTAGTATTTAAGAAACAGCTATCTAAACAGGCTATTCACCCTGGTTCACCGTATCTAAGATATGTCCTCGACACTCCAGCGTCCTGGCTATGATGGGGATTCCAGTGAGAAAAGTAGCGGGCCATATGATCAGAAGATGGTCATAGAGACAGCCCCGGATGACCCGAGGATTGTGGCGGACTGGTCGCCAGAGGAAGAGACAAAGCTTCGACGAAAGTGAGTACTTCATAACCTATCCGAAAGCCATGCACTAACACAAGTAGGCTGGACTTCATACTGCTTCCGATTCTTATGCTCGGCCTCTTTGCCCTTCAGTTAGACAAGGGAAATGTGTCCTATGCCCTAACAACGTCATTTACTAAAGACCTCGGGATGGATAACGACAGCGTAAACTATGGCAACCAACTGATGCTTGCCGCAATCGTCATCTTTGAGATTCCCTTCAACATGGTCTTATCGCGAACAGGCCCCGCCAAATGGCTCACGATACAGGTCTTTGCATGGAGCATCATCGCCACCGCTCAAGCAGCGATCCACAATCTTTCTGGGTTCTATGCAACCAGATTTATGCTGGGCATGTGGGAGGCTGGCTACCTCGCGGCATCATTGACGATCTTGAATTCCCTCTACACCCGTAAAGAAATGGCCATGCGGGTGACACTCGTCTATATTGGGAATTATTTTTCTGCCGGGCTCGGAGGGTTGATAGCAGCCGCCATTTTCCATATTCCAGAATCAACGGGCCTGAAGCAGTGGCAGGTTAGTTCCATCTATATCTACATGAACCTTTCATGTCCATAAAATAGATAGCTAACAAAATTGGTAGTGGCTCTTCATCATTGACGGCGTATTCTCTCTTGCCGTTGGAGTCTTTTTCATCCTCTTCATGCCTCGGTCGCAGAAGAACACTCTCCCGCTGTGTGGAGTGAAAAGATTCAACTTCTTCACCGATAAAGATCTCCATATTCTTAACAATCGCGTTCTTCTCGACGACCCTCGAAAGGTGGTCGAGCTATCAAGCATCGGCTTGAAGACGGTTGCCCGTATTCTGCTGACAAACTTCCCCATATGGGGTCACTTCGCCATCAATGTTATATCTCTGACGCCCAAGGGAGGATTAGGCGTCTATGCACCAACCATCATTAAGAATCTCGGCTTCGACTCCATCACAGCCAGTAATTTATCCGCCGTTAGCAGCTTCGGGGTGTGCATCTTCGCTATCCTCGTCGCGTGGATCAGCGACAAGACATCTTCTAGAGGACCTCTCTGTCTACTCTGCGGCGTCTACAATCTCATTTTCTCCGGGGTGCAGTATGCCATTGTCCGCCGCCAGGACGTCTGGCTCAAGTACGCCATCCTCACCGTCTTTACCTCTGGCACCGCGGTATCGCAGAGCATCAATGACGCCTGGTTCAGCGTCAACACTGCTGACCCTCAGGTTCGGTGTCTCGGGCTCGCATTGGCGGTTGCGGGTTCCAATTTAGGCGGACTCTCTGGTCAAAACATCTTCGTCAAGGATGATGCCCCGTACTACTATCACGGGTTCCTGAAGATTCTCTGTATCTATGCGGGTAGTATTGTACTCATTGCGGGCATGATTGGTTATTACATGTATATAAATAGGCTACTGGCTAGGAACACGCAGGATGGCGAGGTCGTTACGAGCGAAGGAGTGAAGGCTGTCGTGGGGGAGTCTCAGTCCGCTGCCGCCAAGGTCAAGAATCAGCTTTAGTTGGAAGGAGGCAAATGGCAAGTACAAATACATGAGAGTGCAGCGCTCTAGCTGAAAGCGATAATCAACCCTGAATACGTTGTTTGGTAAGAACTTTGAGAATATTTTTGAAAGTGACAATCGCTCGTCATTCCGATGCAGCCGGACATGATAAGCCTTTTGAGAGAAATTTTAGGCAGGCGGAGCATACGCTAAAGCTTCTCTACGCCTTGTATGTTTTTATGCCGTGATATCCGGGGATATCTGGCTATTGTACGCACGAGGACTTAAGCTATGCAACGAAGACCAGGTTTCGGGTTCGGCATCGGTTTCGCCCAAAATTCAATCACTGAGGAATGCACGAAACCGAGAGTGAGCCGCAGTCAGACTCTGATCGGCTAGCAACCACGAAATAAACTGATGACATTGCTTATCTTCAATTCATTGCTGTAGGGGCATATTTCTTAAGACCCACGCTTATATTGTCCAGACCAAGCAAGCTACACGCCAGCGAGTGTGCGAGTTTTACGAGTTTTATGGCTTCAGATTGCGAACAACACGAGGTCATGCTTTTCAATATTGTCATTTGGTGAGACTACTTCCATTGGAGCTATACCTGACTTTGTAGCCGGGACCAACTATAAATAAATAGCTCGCTCGCCCTTGGATTTCGTTGTTTGACATGATATTCAAACCGCACACTTTACTACACTCTTACAAGCACTGAAGCAGCCATCATGGCAGTTCTGGAGACATATAATGGGTATCCGCTGTGGAGGTATATCCCTTCATTACCAGCAGCAGTTGTTTTCGCCGCCCTCTTTACCATTTTGACGGTCGCCCATGGATGGAAGATGATACGTCATTCCATGTGGTTTCTATATCCCCTTTCTCGTTGGCGGCTTCTTTAAGTTTTAGGATTTGGCCCGACATGAATCCCATTTGGATGCTGATTGTAATTTCATCATTAGTCGAGGTCGTTGGTTATGTAGGCCGAGCCGTGGCTCACAACGCGACTGGAGAGTTAATCCCATACGTTCTCCAGTCGACTTTCCTGCTCTTGGCACCGATTTTGTTTGCCGCCTCTCTTTATATGACATTGAGCAGAGTAATCCGGGCAGTTGATGGCGCTCATTGCTCCATCATTGTTCCCCGGTGGCTAACGGTCATCTTTGTCGTGGGCGATTGCATCAGCTTTGTCGTCCAGGCCTCCGGCGCGGGATTAAGAATCATGGCTGGGCAGGCGAAACGCAATATCAATCCTCACCTGGGTTCTTGGATCATCGCGGGGGGCTTGGTCTTCCAGATTATTGTATTTGGAATCTTCATCTTCACCGGCTTGCGCTTCCACTTGTTGTTTAAAAGGGATCCTGCGGCAATACGTGCCGAGAGCATCCCTTGGCAAGGCATTATGTATATGTTATTCATGACTTCGGCTGCCGTTATGATGCGAAACATCTTTCGTATGGTTGAGTACGCGATGGGCCCTGACGGATATCTTTTCACCGTTGAATGGGGCGTCTATGCCTTTGACGCATCGCTCATGACAATAACGATGACCCTTTTCTGGCTGTGGTACCCTTCTCAACTAAAGTCTGCCATTGATAAAGGCAGTTTAGAGATAGGTGGGAGCCAGCCCAGGCAGGCGTGAGCCATGGAGCGAACACAGAGCTTGAAGACACAGGCAGAGGAGGATTTAATTGATGGATGGAAGAATGAAGGGGCGCACGATAAATGAAATTGGTGACAATATTGAGTTGCTCTACCGGGCACCACGTCACTACTGAGTGATCAAACTCAGGGGCGGATTGATCAAATATTTTGGGGTATCTTGTTCGCAAAGTTCGGATTCCTCGGCAGAACACGAGGAAAGGGGAAATGGTGCATGTTAGGGGGAGTTGCACTGTGGCAGGATCGACAGTACCCTGGTACGCTTTACTCTTGAATCTGAATGTTAGATGCCCTAGACTATCATCTGATAATCGTGAACAGGGTTGCTCTAGTACTTATAGGTCTAATATTGACTTGCAGCGCGCTTTGTTTTCATTAGGCGAGAAGCTGAAAACCTAGTAACAACTCTCAAGCCCATGCAGGAGTATTCGAAGTGAAACTGTCCCTGCGAGCAACAGACTGGCTTTTCACAAAACGCCACCGTAGTCTATAGCTGATTGAGTCTATATAGATTCGGCAAATGGAACCGATCAAAGATGTGTCTATGAGATGAAGCGTTAAAAAAAAGCTTTCTGAGGGATCGGTATTCCACGAGTCATTAACACTCGATCTGAATGCCATATATACAGGCCAAAGTCTGAAATCTTTTCCCGACAATTTAAAGAACCTGGTGCTATTCCGCAGAGGCTGGTGCCAGTTAATTTTTGAACGTCTCGAGAACGAGCTTCTGTTATGGCGTCGCATCTTGAGATGCCACTGGCTGTTATCTCGCCGGCTTTTAAATTCGAGGCCTTGATCATCTCGCCAGTGAGTAAGTACGCTCTTCCTTCAATCTTAACAAGCGCCTCGTCCTCATTATTTTTGTCCTGGTCACGGCTGGTTCGCCATCAAAGCTGGAGCGACAACAGTCGTTCCCAACCGTGACGGCATTGAAGAATATTAGGTTTTTTTCCCCACCAGGTTGAGACATCACATTGCTTAGGGTCTCTTTCTCATTGAAATTTAATAAATATGACCTCCATTACATTGGTCTAGACGTTGATCTGGAGACGTTTGTGGGTGCATGAATAAATCTCTTGAACCTCTTAGGCCATTAGGATGACGTGGCACAACATTGTGTTTGAGCTCAGAACGTTCTGCAGAGTACTCCCTGGATAGCACAGTTCATCTATCATGTAGGGCGATGGATGCTTGGTTGATTTTCAAAGATGATTCAGAGGGCATTTGCTCAAGGGAATGCTTACGTGTGCCATTTCCTCTGCTGCCCACTCGCTACACTCCCGGTCTCTTCGGTCAAGCATGGCCAACATCTGCTGGTCGACAAAACCCCACATTCTGATGCATTGGAGGGAGGTCGTGTTCATTGTCCGACGCCCATGTAATATGAAGTTGGGCATGTTGGTCGCAAGTTCCCTGCAGCAAGGCCTGGTTTTTCTTCATTTGGCTAGCCTGACTCCTACTGTTTTACTTAGCGAGTTCTGGGCTGAAAAAAGCTCCTCTTTCTGTTTTGTTGGTGACACCATTGGGCAGCCTAAGAATGGGGCACAGCTTCGGACCAACGCTGCCTTGGCCCCGTGAATGACAGCCATCACAATGCTCTCCACTGTTATGCGTGGAACAATATTGAAGGCGCGTCAGTGGTTATCACCACACTCGTTGAGGGACGCCATCAGGCGACAGTCTCCCTGTGTCGATTGTCTTGGGTTGGACCTGCAGAGAAGTGGTGTTTTGTTATGCGGAGTTGGACTTGTTGGTACCAACCTGAGTCAGCACCATCAGCCGAAACAATGCCTCATGCTTCCAATTCGGGTATTATGGGCCATTAAACAAGTGCTAGGCTTCAGCTCATCTGTAGGAGAAGGGGCCAGATGTAGCATGGTCACGTTTTATTGGCCCATATCACAGGGTGATGGAGGGGAAGTCAACCAAGGACGCAACTAGGTGGGCCCTGTTGGTAGTTCCTCGCATGTCTGAATCACAGCCATTGGTCTGTGTATATGGCTGTTGGTTGGGAACTGCACCAAGCGCGCAGAATTCATCCCTTGAGACTTATTGTCATGTATGGCCGAGCCAACACGTTCAATGCAGCAGTCACTGAGGCGCCACTATTGGTTTACACCGCTGCTTCTAGGAACGAAAATAGTAACAAGGAATGGCCACGTCTTACGAGGCTTTTCCCCAACGAAAGCAAAGACTTGGGTGGGCTGTTCCGTTGATGCAACCTGTATGGTCTACGTCCCAGAGTAGTCATCTTATTCCGCTATAAATTAGGTGAAATCATCTTTCTCTTGGGCTTCAAAGTCAAGCTTTGACAGTTTGTGTCATTCCCCCTTTATTCATTCACATTGATTTCCTGTTCTTTGTTCAATCGATTGCAGTCATGGCACCAAGGGAGCACCACCCCCAGGCCTTGATGGCGCGCTTCTGGAAGAAGTTCCACCACAGAACGCCCGGCAAAGTCACATCTGTTTTCCCGAGCAGCATGTACGATGCCTTCCACGATGACTCCATCCCCGCTTCGGCTCGCGTGCGCAACGCGGCCGGGAGCTACGATGAGGCCCGCGCCGAGTGCGCGGCCTTGGTCCAGGAGATCGTGGAGCGCTGCGAGGCCACCAATACCAGCTTCCTTGACAAGGAGTTCGAGCTTGAGCATGACTACTACTTGGAGATTGACGATTGTCTCCGTGGCCTCATCAGAAAAGAGGAGCAGAGTAGTCGGCCTGGTGGCGTTCACCGTGTTCCCTGGATTTATGAGAACCCCAGGTTCAATGTCGACGGCTTCTCTGGCTCGGACATTGCGCAGGGCGCCCTTGGCGACTGCTGGTGGCTCGCGGGACTTGGAACGATCGCCCACCGTAAAGATCTGATGGACAAGGTCTGCGTCGCCCGCAATGAGGAGTGTGGCGTTTACGGTTTCGTATTTTTCAGGGACGGAGAATGGGTCCCTACTGTCATTGATGATAACCTCTATCTCTCGAGCGGTGACTGGACCAAAGCTGGGACTGGCACTGATGCCACGGGCAGCAAGGCAAGGGCGTGGAAAAAGAGCCGACAAACAGGCTCAGGGGCTCTTTATATGGCCTCTTGCAAGGATGAGAACGAGACATGGCTGCCACTGCTCGAGAAAGCCGTAAGTGACCCCCGCCGCCATTCTAATTGTAAAGAAGCTGACTGTTTCACTCCCCTCATATACAGTATGCCAAGGCGCATGGCGACTATGAGGCCCTTGAGGGCGGCTGGATTGGAGCTGGTGTCGAAGACATGACTGGAGGTGTCTCGAGCGTGGTTTTGACGAGCCGTGTTTTGCGGAAAGACAAGCTGTGGCACGAGCTGCGTCAAGTCGACCAAGATGACGGCCAGTTCGTATATGGACTCGCTGCATCATTTGGTGTAGGCACCGGAGAGCGGAATGGCCTGATGTTAGACCATGCCTACTCTGTTATTAAAGCAGTTGAGATTGAGGATGCAACAGGGCGAAAGGTCAAGCTTCTACAAATTAGGTGAGCCTTCTTTGATTCTCTTTTCCCTCTTCCACTTTTTCCATGTTGTTTAGGCTCAACTAATTGTGGTTTCCAACAGGAACCCTTGGGGCCAGAACGCATCTACTGGCTTGGGAGAATGGCATGGGCCGTGGTCAGATGGATCCAAGGAGTGGACTCCCGAAACCATGAAGAAGCTCAACCATGAGTTCGGGGATGACGGCGTGTTTTGGATGACCCTGGACGATGTACTGCACAACTTCCAATGGCTCAACCGAACTCGCCTGTTCAACGATCATTGGACTGTCGCACAACAGTGGACCAGTCTTCCCATTAGCTGGATCCCTGGCTACCTCAACACCAAGTTTGTCATCCAGGTCGAGAAGCCTGGCCTTGCTGTCATTGTTCTATCCAAGGTTGGTACATTCCCGTACAATTTCGGTTTTAGACGGATCTAACACTCAAAATATAGCCTGATGAACGATACTACAACGGCCTCGAAGGCCAATACAGATTCTTTCTAGAGTTCATGGTCCGTTCCGACGAATCCGACAAGAAGATTGCCGAGGCCACATACAATGCCTACGAGGGTGAGAACCGCTCAGTGAGCTGCGAAGTATACCTCGAGCCCGGAACATACAGTGTCATCCCCAAGGTGCTTGCAAAGCGATGCGCCTGGAAGTATGAGCTGAGGGACGTTGTTAAGTCATACGCTCTCGCCAGGCCCCTCAAGCTCCAGCAAAAGGCCAAGTTCTACGATACAGCGCATGCAAAGCCTGGAGTGAAGGACGAGGATGAAGAACTTCAGATCAAGAAGTGGGAGGAGAGGCAGCGAAAGAAGGAGCTGAAGAGGAAAACAGAGGAGGAAAACAGCATGCAGCTAGAGTTGATTAAATTGCGTTCATATATTTCCGCTTTGCACGAGGAAATGGAGAGGCGCGACAAGGCCAAGGTCGAGGAGCAAAACAAGGACAAGGCCAATGAGAACCAGAAGCAAAGAAAGAAGTCACGCGGAAAGAATAGGCCTGCTGCAGAGGAGAACACCAAGGGGCAGCGCGGGGGGCAGCAAGTGGAAGCAGAAGAAGCAGCGGGAGAAGAGGAAGAGACAGCGGAAGAAGAGAATCAGGAAGAAGAGGAAGAGCAGGCAGAGCAGGAGGAAGAAGAGGAAGAAGAAGACGATGACGATGACGACTTTGAATCTGACGACGACGACGACGATTATGATGATTCAAAAGACAAATATCTCTGGAATCCTGTTTGCGTCATGGGCCTTCGCGTCTACTCCGAAGACGACCAGATTGAAATCAAGCTCGTCGAAGGCGATGAGCAGGAGGAAGAAGAGGAGGAGGCTGAAGGTGAAGAGGGAGAGGAGGAGGGAGAGGAGGGAGAGGAAGAAGAAGAAGAGTAGGGAAACTGGCTAGAGTGTGCTACAATCGCAGTTAAGCCATAGTTCCCGTCTTGAATCCAGACCTTACGTACCGATTCGAAACCTCCCATTGCTTTCATTGCATGAAGAGCCAGTTGTACTTTAATTAGCCATCTTCTAGAGTGAAAAAACTGCTGGGGCAAGATTAAATACATGGACTCTTTCCACTTGGCCTACATACTCTTAGATTAGATATTAGATAAACTTTCCACAGCTACGGAGAAGTGTAACATCAAGCAAGAGACGAGCGATGCAGGTTGCTGAACCAATATCATCCTCTGGGGAGAGTGGCGATTTACAGGACCAGGAGGAAACAATTATAAATTCTCATCTGAACGCCGGAACGACTTATGCCAGCTCCGCTCTCTGATTTAGCGGGCGGTCTGGATCCTCGTTATCGCCGAGGTTTATATCTGTACAGCCCTCCATCTCTGCCACTACAGTAGACTCGATCTCCAACACAACAGTAGAATCAAGCTCAGTGTCTACCCAGCCCGCCTCAACCAGTTGGCTCGTACGTTTCGGAAGCGAAGGAACCTTGAGGTTGTCATGTGAGCCTCCGTGGGGGGCATTCATTTCTGTAGGCTGATCTGGGAGCGTTGCTAGGTTAATGCCTTGTCGTTCTTCGTCTTGGGCTCGGCGGCGGCGGAAGAACCAGAAACTACCAATAGCTAAAAGTACCAAGGCAACTCCCCCAATGACTCCGCCGACTATAGGACCAAGAGGAGCGTTATCTTGTTTGTTGCCATCATTGTTGCCATTGCTGTCATTTGAAGCTGCATTCAATGTCAGTCAAAGGCCTTTTTAAATAACAGGCGTAGTCCACATACCATTGATAAAAAGGTCTCTGATACTGTCATCATAAAGCCCATATGCGTCAACGTTACTGTGAAAGCAACTGTTAGTAGCTTTACACTCATGAATACAAATCTTTTGGCACAACATTACTTTTTCTTGTACCAGTTTTTGACATCAAATCTCCTTTGCCAGGATCAAAGTCCTCTGTCCATTTCATCTCGACCATGTCGAAAACCCCTATGGCTCTGAACCACGGATCATCTTCCTTCCATTTGTCAGGGATGTCATTAGAGGTCCCTCCAATGGTGATCATGTATCTGCCGACAGCTGCGCAGGCAAGATAACCCCGTTGAAAGCTGGTTGAAGTACTCTCGGCTTTGAAGTATCTGAATGCAGGCAGAGACAAGATCCAGATGTCGCTGTAAAAGGTGTCACCTTTTTCACCCCTTAGAGTACCGCCATAGATAAAACTGGGATAGTTAAAATCAGCTCCCAACGTGTTCGGAAGTAGAGATCCGAAGTCAAGCAATGAGGATGGGAAGGCAATCAAGAGATGCATTTAAACCTACATTTCATAGGTGCCATTTTTACCCTGGGCACCAACTGCACAAAAAGCAAAGCGCTTCTCGGGAATACTGTCTCCTATGGCTCTCTGCTGGGAATGCCACTTTGGTGAAGCAGGACTTGCATCGTACACTATGGGTTCTCCCAAATCTCGCACATTGTCGCGGTGTGTCCCGTCGAATCCGCCGAGGACTATGACAAGAGGTCGCTTGAATGCTGTCACGCAAACAGCTTTGCCTCCCCAGATATTTTCGTCGTGCAACGGCACTGCAGTGGAAGACGTCGTATTGGATAAGTCACCAGTGTCCATGTTATACGTTACCACGCCCGGGCTTGGCATTTCCCTCTGCCTATAATCCCCTGTCGAGTTTGATGAGAAACCGCCAATGTAGAAGCCTCGGCCGTCGCAGAATGTCGATGCTCCAAAGCTGTTGGATTTGATCTCCCCTGATGATATGGACTGCGGTAGTGATTTAGATGTCCAGTGTCCGCCTCCCTTTCCGTCCGTCTCGAGGACATGTAGCTTCATTTCGTGGCCCACTTCAAACTGCTCCTTTCGATGCAGCTCGCCTCCCCATCTGTATACTGACTTTGTTCTCTCGTTCGCCCACAGTCCTGCTAATTTCACAGAACGCATTTCATCAGCGTAGGGAATCTCGGTGAACTTGACATCCTTCTTTGTCCACTTCGTGTTTATCGGCATCGATAGTGTCTTGTTTACTTTTTATCATCCACGTGAGCAAATATTCCACAAGATAGTTGTGTTAGAAGGAAGCTCACGTTCCAGTGCGTTCTGCGGAAATTGCCGTTTTCCGTTGACCCAAGTTGACACTTGCCCGCCTTCGATGTATAGATGATCGCCCAATACAGCGACGCTTTGCCCGGACATCCGTTGGTGTGTGCCTATTAGGCCAAAGCTATCCTCGCCAGTCTGCCCAAATACCCCGACCCCGACGCCGAGAGCGAGGAGAGAGCAGCGTCCTAGGAGGACGGATAGCCGCAGGGGCAACATCGCGTTAGCCGAGGGCGGGTTTTCAGGCTATTATGGTCGCGGATTGCAGGTTGGTAGCATGAATAATTTATTCCAAGGAAATAGGCAAGAAATAAGAAGGGAAGAGGGGAGGCGCAGGCGTGTGTACTCCTCTCCTCCTGGCTCACCTGAACACTGAAGTACTATATGTTGTGAGACAACACAGTCTTGGCTTTCGTAATTACCTAGCCTCACTAGGTAAGACTACCGCCGTTTGCCACCATCACTGGGTTCTAAACGCAATATCCCGCTCACAGATCAGCGTCCTTCATCGGTGAATGAGGCGAAACTTGTGTTCCTGATTCGATATCCGGCCAGGGAAGGCTAAACTGTGGCATCCTTCACTCTCGACGATGAGTTGAAATCAGGCGATTCTCAAAAATTATAGCAGTGTCGAATAAAGCGGCGGAATGTACGCCACAATACTACAAGAGCTCAGCCTGGGCGAACACATGTATGCATAAAACGTCTTAGTCGCTCAAGCCTCCACGCTGGCTCGAAGGAGCAATGATATTCAGCATGTATTCCAAAGTCTAAAAGCTTACGTGGATTATGTAAAATAAATCCATGTTTGATAATTTGCCGTAGTGGCTTCCGGGTATTTTTATTTCGCCAATGAATCCGTGATCTGGACCTTTTGATACTGTAGGATCTTACGACGTCGCCTTCGGACCCCTACCCAACATCTATTTACAGCACACCGCACTCAGTACTCTTCTTATTACATCGGCCCCCGAGACTTTCGTGCTTACTCTATTTTACATTTGCGCCACAGCCGCCAAACTCAAGACAAGGCTCCAATCAACGTCGCCATCTCCCCTTAACCTAGGCTTCCGTTCAGTACGAGTCACAGCACAACTACCTCTTTGAGGAAATCAGGGCTACATGGCAGTAAATGCATTCAATATGTGATACAGCCAAAAAGGATTTCTTTCCGTCATTGGTTCCATTGGCTAAGAAATGATTATGGCATACGAGCCAGCTACCCGACTCTAACTCACTGTCCTTGATATCTAACTCAACCACTCTTGGCTTTTGCCTCCTCCGGTGCATTTAAATCCATTTTTACTAGAAGGCCATTGGCAACGAACTCAGCCAGGCTTGTTAAAGACTCGGAATTCATGATCTCCAACACGCTGACGTCAAGAGAAAGCCTCTGGCGGAACCAACTGCGCAATTCAATTCCAACCAGCGAGTCAATACCGAAGTTTGCCAAAGGCACCGTTACATCCAACTCGTCCAACGGCTTCATCATGAAGTTGAACAACGTTGTTCCGATCTGCTGTGCTAGCGATGTCACGAATTCGGCCTCCTTCAACAAGTCGGGGTTTCCATCAGCCTCAGCAAGGAGGTTCCGCAGGGCGTCCTGCTCTGAGGAGCCTCCACTATTAACCCCATCCACGACTTCTTCGATGTTGCGATAAAGCCCCATTCGAGGATCGCGTCGCCAGATGACACGATTGTTGGGAGAAGCGATGGGCTGTGTGGTGCGCAAGCCAAGGCCAATCTGGCTAACACTCACATACCCTCTGTCACTTTCTGTGGTCCGTGCTGCAGGAGGCGCGGATATCATCATGGCGAGTTCGAGAGCATCGAGCAAGTGTCGCTCTCGTAGCACAGCAACGGAAGCAGCACGGAAGTTTTCCATGACGCGGGCATTGCGACTGACATAACCGACGTCAGCCATGGCGCCAATATCAAGAACCGATGCAGCCAGGCCTTGGCCATGTCTAAATTGGACAAACGCATCGAGGAAGGTATTGGCAGACGCGTAGTTGGCCTGCCCTCTCTGTCCAACCAGACCGGAAAACGAGCTGTACAGGACAAAGAAATCTAGCTTATGGTCTTTGAAGGCCTTGTGCAGATTCCACGTCCCCCTCACCTTGGGCTCCGCAGCCGCTTCCCAGTCCTCGTGACTCATATCAGCAAACATGCTATCCTAGGAATTGTTAGTAAATTGAAAGATGGAACCACGCAGTGAACGTACTCTTAGAACCATAGAGGCGTTGATGACGCCCGCGATTGGAAGTCTTGCCTCCGACTTGACACGTTCGAGGTCGTCCAGGTTGGTGACACTGCCCTGGACAAGCTGGACCGTGCAACCTGCAGCTGCCAATTCTTCTACAAGCAAAGTGATGGTCTCATCAGCTTTCGAAGTTGCCCCCCGAGAGAGGTAAATTAGGTTCTTAGCCCCTTTCTCTGCCATCCACGTAGACATGGAACGTCCCAGACCTCCAAGGCCACCAACCAGTAGGTATGACACATCGGGTCTCAGTTTGAACTGATTTCTTACGGCTGTAACATCCAAGACACTGGGGTCCTCAGGCATGCGAACGACCAGCTTACCAATATGCTGGCCCTTGGACATGGTTCGGAAAGCTTCCTGTATGTTAACTGCATCAAATACCGTGACAGGCCGGATTGGGCCGATGAGACCTTGAGTGTAGAAGTCCATGCACCGCTTGAGCAGGGTTCGGATCTTGTTGGGCCGTTCTGCGCAGATAGGTGCCACATGAACACCAAAGAAGGCGCGGTTGTCCTCGAAAGGATCCATCGCAAGTCTTCCTTGGCCGATGAAATCCCTCTTGCCAAGCTCGATCATGCTACCAAACTTGGCCACACAATCCCACTTTCATCAAGGGTTAGCTAATATAGAAGAAACAGCAGGGGGGAGGTAGACCTACTGAAGCATGCAAGAGATCTCCGGATAGAGAATTGAGAACTACATCAACACCTTCGCCGTTTGTTTCACGCATGACTCCGGCATAGAAACTCGAGTCTCTGGAGTTGAATATACGATTGCGTGGGATTTTGAAGGTATCTTGCAAATATTGGACTTTTTCGTCGTTGCCCACCGTGGCGAAGATTTCTGCACCCAGCATACGGCAAATTTGGATGGCTGCAATTCCAACGCCACCGCAAGCGGAATGAATCAAGACGCTCTACAAGATAACTTGTTAGAAATTTAGTGGATAATACAGAGAGCAGATCACTTACCTGACCAGCTTCGAGTCTTGCCAGGTCCTGAAGCCCATAGACAACAGTTCCATAGACGCACGGCATGCTAGCAGCCTCTTCAAAGCTCAGAGTGTCCGGCATCTTAGTGCAAAGCGCCGCCCGCGTCTTCAGCACGGTCGAGTACGAGTTACCGGCAAACACCATCACGCGGTCACCGACCTTGAGATCGGACGGAACCTCGGGACCGAGGGCCTCTATGACACCGGAGCATTCGAAACCCAGACCGTTGCCGTCTTCCTTGCTCCCGTCGACAACACCCATAGCGATGAGGATATCCTTGAAGTTCATACCAACAGCACGAACTTGGACAGCAATCTCATCACCCTCAAGCTTGATCTCAGGCCTGTCAACCCACTGAAGAGACTTGAGCGAACCTCGTTTACCAATCTCGAGTGCCTTTGGCGTAAGACTCTTGTTTGACTTGGTAGCCAACTCTCCCGGAACGGAGATCCAATTGAATCGAGGAATGTTTACGCTGCCATTTGAGAACGCATACTCACAGTCTGCGTCGACCTCGTTCGTTTCATTGGATTTCTGCTGCATTCTCTGGTAAAGAGTGTAAATGCACTTGATCGCTTCGGGTGAGTTGTGGTCGTCGAGCTCAAGTGTAACCAGGTTGTTGACACCCAACTCATTACGAAGGACACGGGTGAGGCCCAGAATTGCTGCATATTGCGGCTCGGTGCTCTGGATTTGGCAGGGCTTGGTGAGCCATAACAAACCAGTCGCTGGCGTCTCCAGCAAGAAAGCCTTCAGATTTGCGTATGTCTCGGCTGAGATATCCTCAAGAATAGATGAACCCTCCAGGTCTAGAATGGAAATCACGCCCTGATTTGGCTTGTCTGACAAGGATACAAATTCTACGGCCAGACCCTGTGCTTGCAGGAATTCAGCCAGAGCTTTAGCAACAGGGCCTTCGGGGTCGCGCGAGAGGAGGGACACGGATGTCGCAGTTGGGTATTCTACAGCAGGCGATGCGATGATTGTGGCGTTTGTCTGGAATGGCATCTCATCATCGACTATAATCGCGTCTGCTCCTGCGAATCCAGCGTCGGTGAGTTCCTGAGTCCAGCGCTCGAGGCTGACATATGGTTCCTCGGGTCGATTATCGGCCTCACCCAGCCACCAACCAGGAAGTACGCCCTATTAACGCATTAGTTCAGACCGATCTAACTTCTCAACATGTTATGGGGAATAGGAAAACTTACAACAGCATAATTGACCCACCGCGTGCTTGTGCACAGTTCCTGCATCAACAATTTGCCATCAGGCTTGAGGAGCTGATTGATATTCGCCAGGGTTTCTTTCAAACATGAAGTCGCATGAAGAACGTTTGTGGCAACTACCAGATCGTACGAATGCGGTGTAAACCCTTGGCTTTCCGGCGTTTGACTGATATCCAAAGGCCGGAACTCCATCGCCTGAGCATTCTTGAATCTCTCCTTGGCCGCCGGGAAGAAGCCGGCTGAGATATCCGTGTAGGTGTAGGAGAAGTACATCCTCTCTCCTGCATCTGAAATGAGTCCCTGCAAGATGAGCTCGGTAGTAGCACCAGTTCCGGCGCCAATCTCCAAGACACGAAGGTGAGGAGTGCGGTGGCGGAGGGAGCGGAGGAAGGGAGAGTAGTCCCACGCATCAGCCAGGTTGTAAAGCTT